ATACATCTGGAAATCCATCCATAGAACCATCCCATGGATCAATTCCCAGCAATTTATTGACTCTCATCTTTCAGAGATCAGGACGAACATTCTGATTTTTTATTTTTTCCATTTTAGTGGGCTGAGGGGTTTTTTTTCTCCCACTCGCAGTAGCTCCCTGTCCTTTCCCCCGTGGGCAGCAGCCCTGTATGATGGTTTCCTTCATCTGGAGAGGAAACCAGACCAGAGAAAGAAAAAACCCCAAGTGTCCCCAGCCCTCGGTCCCTCGAGTGTCCCCAGTCGCTGTTGGGCTGTGGTGGGGGCAGGAAGCTCAGCACCGGGCCAGCACCAGCGGGCAGAGATGCTTTGGCTTCCTGTCCCCTCCCCCGTGTCCCCAACCCGCTGCCACCACCCCCGTGTCCCCAGCCCGTGTCCCCCTGGCTCTGGTGACACGTGGAAGATGAAAATGTGATCTTGGAGTCAGTGGGCAAGCGGGGCTCTGCGGGTATTGGGGTCGTGTCCGCCGGGCCCCGCCGATCTTTGGTGTCCCGAGAGTGGGTGGGGGTCACAAAGGGAAGAGTCCGGCGGTGTCAATGGGGGGGTTGAGGGTCCCAGAAGGATTTGGAGGGGAATGGGGACGTGGCTGCGGGCAGGAAGCCGGGAGTACAACCCGGGGACGGAGCACAGGGTGCGGATCCAGGGAGAAGGGGGGAAGCCGTGATGCCTTCAGTTTTAGCTTTCCTATTTTCCAGATTCTGTACTTCATTAGTGTTATAAATGAAAATTTGTCCAGCCAAATTAATATGAAAAAATAAAATATTTATTTTGCAATCGAATTCTATCCAGCCAGCCACGAGGAAAGAACAGAGCCGAGCCCGGGATCGGCCCTGGGTGTGCAACAAGGAGTCAGCCTCAGCAGAGGTTTTCCTCCATGCCCACACCTCCATCCTGGCACAAGCGGTTTTTATAGGGAAAATTCCTCCTGAGGCCAAGATTTCAGCAGTCAGTCTTTTCTTCTATTCAGAGTCCATATGTAAATAAGATTTTCTTTTTGGTGATGAGGAAGAACCATTAAGTGACTGGAGTTTGTTGATTCACATGTATCTGCCTGAAGATTTCCATAATATCCGTCTGGGGTTGTTCACACAAACAATCAGCACCTGGGGTTTCTGTATCTCCCCAGACATGGCCCTGGCGAGCTGTACCTTCTTACTTGTAAATCAGTTTCCAAAATACACCCAGTCTTGCCTTCGAGGGTGGGGGGGAATCCTAATACAAACATGTATACTCTAACAAATATTCAATATCACATATATCATATTAGAAATGGTGCAAATTATATCTACTACACATAACAATTAGTATTTAATTCTGAACTTCATCTAAAGTGTTGGCAAGTTCTCACAGTTCAGTCAGAGAAAACAATCCTTTTCCAGCCCGAGAACCAAGGACACCAGTGCAGCTTCAGGCCCAAAAAGTGTAAAACAACAGCAAATTAAGGAGAGCAATCTGGGAGAATGGGACTGCATCACCTGGAGCTGGAATTGGACAATTAACCCCAATGTGGAAATGGACCAAAACTTATAAAAGTCTGAAAACTCGTGACACACTATCCATCTTGGGTGTGGCCACGGGCAGGCTCTTGTACTGCTCAAGGTGTATCCTATCTCTGCTTTATTCCTTTAACACTGTCAGGCCTCTGTTCTAGGCAGCCTCTCAAGCCATCAGTTGCTGGTTTATTATTATTATTATTATTATTATTATTATTATTATTATTATTATTATTAATAATAATAATAATAATAATAATAATAATAATAATAATACCCCCTCTCCATCTCAAAGTCACCTCCCTCCATCCCAAGTCACCCCCTTCAGCTCACAGCCCCCCTCCCTGGGCACTCCCAGACAGTCCCAGGGGGTCCTGTGGCAGTCTCTGGGTGGGTTCCATGGGGGGTCCTCAGGGTGGATCCTGGAAGGTCCCCATGGGACACTCTCTAGGACCCCCCAGGAAATTCCAGGACCCCCCCTTGGACCTCTCAGGACCTCTGCAACCCCTGGGACTCCCATGGTACCAACTCTCCAGACCCCTCCAGGACATCCTGGGACACCTTAGGACCTTCCAGGACCCTCCCAGGAAGCCCAGGAACATGGAAGGATTGCTCCCAGACAAAAAGAGGGACAGTTCTGGCTGGCCTTGGCCTCCCAAGACCACCTCAGGCTGCTCCAAAGGCATTTTGAGTGACAACCTTTCCCAACCTCTGGACAAGAGCCATCCTTCACAGACAGGCACCCTCAGCTGAAAGTGGGATTTGGCTGAGGAGAAAGAACTACAGAAAGTAGTTATAATTCCCCCTTCCATTTCTTTGTGGAAAGAGGAAAAAGCCCTCCTTTATTTCAAATTTGACTGCTTTCAGACTCGACTTTGGCACCAGGACATGAACTGGTTGGTCCTCCTGCATTGGTCTCTGTGGTAGTTTTTCTCTCATAAATATGTAACCAATGCACAGGGTCATGCCAACCCTCCACAGGATCTTGGAGCACTGCAAAACCGTGAATCGTTTGGATTTTTCTCTCTCCAGCTCCCTTGCAAGCCGTCCTTTAAAGGAGGTGTGAGAGTTTTAGCACGGGCAGTGTTAGCCAGGTGATGTTTGGCCTCTCCTGGGAAAGGCAACTCCCTTCTCTGGGACAGCAGTCACTTTGGCACAGTCTGAACATCAATCCTGCCACCTGTGAGGAGAACCCAGCTACTCTGATATTTTAAAAAATCATCTGAATATCGGGAAAACCAATTCCTACCTGGGCTGTGTGATACACCAAAGAAAAAATGGAAATGTGTTCAGGACCAACCTGCACCAATTTGCTCTTGTGTCCTCTCTGTCCCCTCACTCAAATGGCTCCTCTCCCTCCCTGATGTGGCTTTTCCTCTCCACCCAGCTATTCAGAGCAAGATATTCCCTTCTACCTGTGCTTTTAGCCATAATAAACACAAAAAGCTCTTTGTTTCCTGGCATTACGTGAAGGTGTGTGTGAAGGTTAGCACACCTTTTTAGAGACACTTTTCAGGGCTGGAGGAACAAACAAAATTTCCTCTCAGCCTCTCCAGAGCAAGTTGCTACTTAGAATGCATAAATGTGGGTTTTACGACTATTTTCTTGAAGGCTGGGGTCATTGGAGTTTGCAGAGGTTTTTTACTGGGAAAACACAGCTCCTTTGGAGTTCTCTTTTCTTTCTATCTTGGCACACATGTGGCAAGAACAACTACTTTGTGAGCCTGGTATTGGGTTATAAACAGACCTGTTGGTTCCTTTTTTCTGCTAATAAGAGCATCTGATGTCTAGGCAGAGCTCTAAAAACCATCCCAGGAGGGCAGTGTGCTTGGGATAAAAGCACTGTCTGCAGGTGTCACCTTCTGAGAGGTGACTGACAGCAGACAAGCAGTGCCTGTGAGGCAGCAAACTACAAATGCCAGGAGCTGCTCTGGTGTATCTGCTTCAAAAGAGCGTAGAGACAAAAGTAAGGGAGGTTAAGGACAAAGGTTTAAAATGCCACACCAGAATCTGTCTTAAAGGCTGCACAGATTTATAAATCCTAGAGCCAGGTTGTGTTCAGTGGGATTAAGCAGAAATGGCTCAATGTGGGCATTTGCTCCTGCTGCCATCTCCAGGAGAGGAGCAGAATCCAGCTCTCCATGGCACCGTGCACTGCAGCTGCTCCAGGTGCTCATTTTGGGAAATAACCAGATGCTGCTGTGGTACCTGCCCAGTTCACACTTACTGGCAACCAGAGCATGACCTGTGCCCTCAGAACTCAGCCCCAGCTGCAGCTCTGCTGTCACTGCACGGGCAATTACTGATGGGAAAAGTTTTCCCTTCCTTTGTTGCTGCCTTTCCCCCCCTGCAACTATTCTGCTACTTCAAAAAGTTCCTTTGCATAACCTAAATGCCTTGAGGTGTTTGTCAGGTTTGCCCTGGATGTCTGAAAACCACTGAGCTGGTCCCAAACAATATTCTGTTTACTGAATTCATTTCATAAGGTCAAAATTAATGCCAGGGGACACTAAAACCTTTAACATATTAAAACCCTCCTGAACACCTGGGCAGTTTGGCTGTTGGCACTCTTCCTGTGGTTAAGTTTTATGGAATAGCCTCACGGGGCAGCAGCCCTCAAATCCTTCTCTTGCTAATAAACTGTTTTGGGAACTTTGTGGTGTAAGTGGTTGTCAGTCACGGGTGTGGGCAGTGAGGGTGATGAGGGGTCCCACCGGATCCACGCAGAACAGAGCAGATTTTAATCCATGCATTAGCAGAAGGAACAGACTAGATAATGCTGTGATGGCCAGTAGTTCCTGCCTTATATATTGCACAGAACAAAAACTCTCCTCTAAAGATATCACCAAATAATTTGGGTTAGAATGGACTTTAAGGGTTGTCTTGTCCCCACTGCCTGCTGTGGACAGGGACACTGCCACTATCCCAGATGGCTCCAAGCCCCATCCAACTTGCCCTTGGACACTTCCAGGGATCCAGGAGCAGTCACAGCTTATCTGGGCACCCTGTGCCAAGGCATCTCCAGCCTCGCAGGGAAGGATTTCTTCCCAATGTCCCATCTAACGCTGTGCTCTGTCAGTGTGAAGCCATTCCGCCTTGTCCCAAATCCCTCTCCAGCTCGCCTGGAGCCTGTTTAGGCACTGGAAAGGGCTCTGAGGTCTTCCTGGGGATTTCTCCAGGTGGGCACCCTGAGCTTTCCCAGGCCGGATCCAAAGCAGAGGGGCTCCAGACCCAGATAATTAATAAAGGGGGGCGGGCTTACAAACTATTTATTTTTGTTGTTTGTGGGGATTTTTTTTTTGTATTTTAACAAAAAAACCCCTGTCTATAAGGTTTTACCGCCTCCCTCCAGGTGAGGGCGCTGCTCTCCCGCCGCCTGAGGGGGCGTGGCCCCGCAGCGATGGGGGCGTGGTCTCATCGCGCCGGGGCGTGGCCTCAGCATTAGGGGCGTGGCCAGCGGGGCGGGGCACGGCGGCGCCGGGACCCCGCGGGGAGCGGGAGGAGGAGGAGGAGGAGGAGCGGGGAAGAAGAAAAGCCGGGAGGAAGGAGCCAGAGAGGTGGCGGCGGCCGGAGCGATGGTGAGCGGGGACTGCGGGGCTGCTGTGGGCCGGAGAGCCGTGTGCTGGCGCGGCCTGTGCGGCAGCGAGGCCCGGGCCTGGAGCGGCGGGGCTGGGGGCCCGGCCGCGCCTCAGGGGATGCCTGGCCGAGGGTGGGTGCGAGGTCACGTCCTCTTCTCAGCCCCCACTCTTCCCTGGATGTAAATGTGTGTTTTTATTCACACGCTGTTTCCCTCGTGCCCCGCTGTTAACCTGGTTTCGGGACAGAGAGGATTAGAAATGGTGTTTTCTCCTGTCTCTGCTTGATTTCACTTGGGTGGGGCGGAACGATGTTTTCCTCGTGATTTTGGTGGAGGTGCTGATCTGGCTGAGAGAAATCGTGTTTGTTGATTTATTCGGTTTTTTTGGTTTGTGTTTTTTTTTTTTTTTAGAGACACGGTTTGCTAATTGGCTGTTATTTTTTAGCTGGAAGGAAACTTCGGGATTGCTTGGAATATAGCTGGTTCTAACCCGCATTGGCACGGCGTGAATCGTGGAAGGGGCACTAGATTTTTTGGTTGTTTGGTTGGGTTTTCCCCCTATCAGCGAGGGAAATTGCAATCACAGCTGCTTTGTGATAAATGAAACAGCATTATCTTTGTCCCACTCCTTTGTCCCGCTTGGCTGTTGGATTCCCAAGCTCCCAATGCTGCTTCCCCTTCCAGCTTTGGCGTGGGACAGCACCAAGAGCCCGCACAGCTTGTGTTGGGGCTGCTTTCAGCTGCCAAAATTTGGCACTGGGTAAGCCCTTGGCTTGTTGAGCAGGGGGTGGTCCAGACTGGTCTGGGGCTGTTCGGTCAGGCTGTTCTCACCCCAGCACCTCCTGTGCCAGAGCTTTGCGGGGGAAATTGCTGCTCTTTGCACCTGAAAGACCTGCTCAGGTCTGCTGTTTTATTCACTAGGTTAGACAGTGGCTATTGCACAGGATTCCTGGCTACTGGACAGCTTAGGAAGTTGGCTTTGTATTCGGGGAATGAGGCTTACCTCTGGACAAACACTGACACACAACATTTTCCTAAGCTGTGGTTTCATTCTGGCATCCTTCCTGTGACCTTAGCAAAAAGCACTGGAAATTTTCTTACCTAGACAGGGTAAAATCTTTCTTTTCCTGTGTTCTGCTCATGTCCACCCTAGTCAGAGTTTCCCACCCTCTTCTTACCCTGAGAAGTTGTATCTGAATCGCTGAGCAGGGGAGGGTTTGCTGAGGTGTTGCCTCATTTCCTGCCTGGGGTTTCTCCAGCAGCGCTTGGTGGTGTGGAGATAAAAAATCCCAGCATTTATTGAGTGTGGCAGCAATCACAGCCTTGCTGTGACTCCTGTGCTCAGAGGGCTTCTGTGGAGGCCCTTCCTGAGTAAGGATTTTGAGGTTCTGCTTGTCTCTTTTTCCAAAGGCACAACTTTGCCAATAAAAAGATGTCTCCATCTGATCTCCTGCACCAGCTGCTTCCACCACAGAGCTGCTGAGAAGGACTTGGGGATGCTGTGGGTGGCAGCTGGTGCTGCCCTGGGCTGAGCCCCAGCAGGAGAGGGGGGATTCTGCCCCTGCTCAGGTGAGACCCCACCTGCAGAGCTGCCTCCAGCACAAGAGGGACCTGGAGCTGCTGGGGAGAGTCTGGAGGAGGCAACAGAGTCATTAAAGGGATGGAGCAGCTCTGCTGGGAGAGATGGGATTGTTCAGCCTGGAGAGGAGAGGCTTTGGGGTGACCTCATTGTGACCTTCCAGTGACAAGATAGGTGGAGAGAGACTCTACAAGAGACAAAGGGGAATGGCTCCACACTGACAGGGTGTTTAGATATGAGGAAATAATTTCTTCCTGTGAGGGTGGTGAGATCCTGGCACAGGGAACCCAGAGAAGCTGTGGCTGCTCCATCCCTGGAAGTGTCCCAGGCCAGGCTGGAGGGGCTTGGAGCCACCTGGGATAGTGGAAGGTGTCCGTGCTCATGGCAGGGGGTGGAGCGAGATGATCTTCAAGGTCTCATCCAAACCAAATGGGTCTGTGATTCTATGATTCTGCTGCTTGTATTCTTTGCATCCTGGGCAGTGAAAGGCATTTCTTTTCAAGTACTACCAGGCCTAGTGCATGCTTTAGTCCTGCCTTTGAGCATGAACTGAGATTTAGGATTCTACCAATTGATGTAGCAGCAGGTGTCCTGGTCTATTTGCTGTGGTGATTGTGATACAGTTTTCTGTACTGAGAAAAAATTGTATTTCCTAGAAATCTGCGTGTAGATGTCCCTCAGAATCCTTTGTGTTCTGTTTCCTTTGCTTCTCTTTGCTCATCAAGATTTATCCATGCTATATCAGGAAAGGCATGTGACTAGACATTGCAGGGGTTGAAGGGCTCTGCATGTTGGTGTTGATAAGATAATTTTTGAGGATTCTGCCCTATGGTCAGACTTGCCCAAGAGCAGGGCCTGTAATGTAGAATAGCAGCATTGGGTTTGTGCTGATACTGGGGGCTTTGTGTGAGGCTTGCATAACCCTGCTGGGAGGCTGTGCCAGGGCTCCGTGCTGCCTTTGTTCATGGATGCCTGCTCCCAGAACAATTGCCATGCTGGGCTCTGCATCCACACTGCTCCTGCCAACACTTCATGTCTCAGTACTCTGGGTACCTCTTGGTGGCACCCAGGTGCTCATAAAATATTTCAAAGGAATACCCATTTTATTCTCTGGAAGGCAGGCAAGAATCTGAGGTGTGGAGGAATAAAATATGTCCAGATGAGCCCCAGCATGCAGGGAGCTGGGCACTTCTTTTCCCCTTATTACCTTGGGTGTCAGCAGAGGATGTTTCCTGGCACATTCTTGGAGCTGATGACCCACAGAGATCCATGATGAGCTCACCATTGGGTGAATCCTGTCTCTTGTGAGGTCTGTGCTGCCTGGAGTGTGCCTAGATGTGTGCAGAACCTTCTATAAATTGGTTTGCTTAAGTGAGCAATGTGAACATGACACCTTGTGTGTATTTTGGGTTAAACTAAACTTGAACTTAATTTTTGGAGTCTTTTGGGCTTCTGTAAAATTGTACTTTTTTGGAGCCACCAATCAGTCTTTCCCCATTTTGTTTTGGTAGTTTTACATTCCATCTCTGCAGTGGAAGCTAGAATGCTGCTGTACTTACTCTGACTTGCTGCCTTGTTTGTTTTTGTGCCGAAGCTATAATTAGCCATTGTTTAGCCACTCCTCTTGACCTCTCAGGGCTGGTGGTACAGTATGCATACATTCATTTTGCAGACACTATACGTGGCAAACCTCCCCTCCCCAACTGCTGTCATTGTAGAAAAAGAAAAAGTTTCAGTGGTGGAAACAAATGCAATGCAGGCAAAACTGGTGGTGTTGGGGAGCTGTGGTAAAATGAGTGTAGCCTGAACGTGGTTTTAATTTCACTTACTCCAGCCCATACATCCCAAAGTTCCTGATTTTTGATTTCTGAGCGATCACGCATCCGGTGTCGCTGTGTCTGCCCACATCCTTCGGTCCGGCTGGGCAGCACGTGGTCCAAACCTGGAGCTGTAATTAGGAGCTGACTAACAAATATTCCCTGCCTGGTGCTTATGAAAGGTATTTGTCAGGCTGGGGTTGGCAGGGAGGGCTGGAGGAGCAGAGTCATTTCTGGGGTGCGAACCAAAACCCCGCAGGCACAGGCAGCAGCAGCTCTTGGAGGAGGCTGGGCTGGTGTTGCTCAATCCCATTTCTGGCTCTCTGGTGGCATCTGGGCAGGCTGGTGGCTCTGAGTCCAGTCTCAGCCTGGTCACTCTGGTCACATCTGTGGCCAGAGCACGTGCAGGCAATGAAGTGTCAGCAAGGCAGGGTTAATTGGAGCCTTCCTTCTACTTAATTAAGCGAGGCTGCCGTGTCCTTGCTGTTTGTTTTCAGTCAGGAAGCTTCTCCTGGGAAGAACTCGTTGTGTTGGAGCAGAGGCCATAATTACAGTGGCAGCACCGGTATTCCCCTGCTCCCCTAATCTGAGCTGTGGGAGCCATGTCCCTTGGCCTGGATTTACTGTGTGACAGCCACCTCCTGCCTCAGCTCTGGGAATGTCAGCAAGCTGATGGCAGACACAGATGTTCAGGTTAGGGTGTGTGGAGAAGTGTATTACATATCCTCTGAAGAGAGAGAGGTTTAGTTCTCTCAGGGTTTTAGAAGCTGTGGGAAAACTCAGAGAAAGAATTCAAACAATTATTCTCTTTCTGTTTTATTTTTTTATCTATTTATTCTTTATAGATACAGTTCTCCAGAGTATACTATTCATAGTTCATCAATGGTGTGAGAGTAGATTCCTAAAGGCCAATCAGGTCTTAAGTCCACCATTGTTTCTGTAAATTTCTAATAATGAAGTGTCTTTTCATGCCTTCTGATGATAAGAGTCTCTATATCACCTTTACCTGTCCCCAATACCCGTTTGGTGATGGAGAAGTGGTCAGAGGGTCCCTAGCTTGGGAATATGTGTGAATTCAGGTGACAGCTGAGGATGTGGTATAAACTGACAGAGAGTAGGTTTAGATTGGATATTGGGAAGAATTTTTTCCCTGTGAGGGTGGAGACAGGGTGCCCAGAGAAGCTCTGGCTGCCCCTGGATCCCTGGAAGTGTCCAAGGCCAGGCTGGATGTGGCTTGGAGCAGCCTGGGACAGTGGAAGGTGTCCCTGGAAGTGTCCAAGGCCAGGTTGGACAGGGCTGGGAGCCACTTGGGATAGTGAAAGATCCCCCTGTCCATGGCAAAGGTTTGGAACAAGATGGTCTTTACTGGCCTAAACCTTTCTGTGATTCAGTGATCTTAGCCCCTCCTTGGACAGTCAGCCTCATGGTATTGCTTAACATAAGCTTGCCTTTAAAAGCTACTTTGATTCTGTGGCCCCATTTGAAACCCACTTCAAACATTCTTTTGTAGGAAGGAAGGTTCAGCTGGTAGAATCTTCCTTCCCGTTTTTCCCCACAGGTAAACTCAGACAGTGTTTCAATTTGAGCAGAAACAAGAAGGCACTTGTAACGAATGTCTGAAAGTCTGAGGTTCTCCAGTTTATTTATTTATTTTTTTTTTAAGCTTTTTTGCATCCTAAAACTCTCAGCTGAGGAAATGCTGTTCTGGCAAGAATGCAGAATGTGCTCTCGTTAGCTTTGGCGTTCCTCCCCCCTCCCTTTTCTGTCATCTGGGACAGAAGAGCATTACTGCAGTTAATTTGTGCTCTTTTGTAGTGGCAGTAAGTACTATCCCTGGAACCAGCTCAGCTAGCTAATGACTTTTAGAAATACAGTATTAAGGATGTATTCCTAATGTGTGCAGCTAAAAATTCAATATGTAAACTGCTTAGGTAGCTGAGTGCATTAATATCAGTACAAATGAGCACTGCAAGTCCTAATGATAGCAATTAGTATTTTATCTGATACCTGGGTCTGTCTTACTGCTCTGAGAATTAAAAACAAAGCTTCCAGTGGAGATTTTTTTTTTCTCCCTGCTCTTTAGTGTGCTCATAAATCAGGTTTTTAAACTGCTTCTGAAATAATCCTGTGGCTTATGAAGTTCTTGTGTGGGAAAGGTTCTCTTACAGAAATAAAAGCAGCTTATCTACTCTCTTCTAATGGGAAGGGAACCTTTATTTTTTGATGCCTTCACAAATAAGCAGTTTATTGTCTTAGATGAAATTCTGTCCTGTAGACAGGTTTAAAATCAGACCAGCCTGTCATCTTTAGCCCAGCTAGAGAAGAAGGAAGACTTTTTTTCACTCTGAGCAGCACCTCCAGGGCTGCAGGGCAAGGGATTCTGATGGCTGGGCTACCCAGAGGCTGTTTATTCCCTCTGCCCCCTCCCTGTAAGATGGATGTGGTATGGGACTGCAATCGTAGAGAATTCCAGAATGGTTTGGGTTGGAAGGGACCGTAAAGATCATCCAGTGCCAGCCACCTTCCACTTGAGCAGGTTGCTCTGAGCCCTGTCCATCCTGGGGGAGGATTCCTTCCTGCCACCCCATCCAACCCTGCCCTCTGTCAGTGGGATGCCACACACCCTTGTCCTGTCATTCTGCTCGTGTAAAATGTCACTCTGTCTCTTTTTCACAAGCTCCCTTTTAACCCAGCATGTTCCTGGGTGTAGTAAAAACATTCGAGTGCAACCTTCTAAATGCCCTCTGGTTTCTGTGGGATTAAGTGAATAATTCAGAAAGTAAAGGTCTCTCATGTCTTGCTGGATACTTTCAGGGAAAGGAGCATTTGGGAAAAACTGAGCCAGGGAGCTGAGAAATTGTAATTCACTTCTAACTCATCTTCTGTGACAATTTTCACTGGGTTTTTAGATCCCAGTTTTTATTATCCTCCTGTGAGGAACTGCATTGACTTGTTTGTTCATCAAAAGTATGAAATTAGGATAAAGGGGGAATTTATAACACTCCTAAATGGATCAACCTCATCCTTCAAACTCACCTAAGTATGAAATGAGTAAAGAAGGATAGCGAGAATGAAATACAGAGAAAACTTTACCTGGTCGAACTGTAACGGTTTCAGATTGAGTATTTTTAAAGAAGGAAAGGGGAAGAAATTCTTCAATGTCTTATGAACATAGTGAAAATCTTCTCTCATTTGTTCAGAATTTGGATATACCATTGAGTTCCTGTATGTCAGTTCTCAGGGGTTTCAGTGACAACAAAATGTGCAGACAGCTGGGATCTTCTGTCCAGAGCTTTCTCCAAGAGTGAGGTCAGTCTCTCGCCAGATTTATTTATTTTGGCTTGGCCATTGATTGAAGTGACTTCTGTCAAGAAGGCCGTGTCCCATTTTGTTCAGGGCTTACAGTGTCCTCCATCTTCATGAAAAAAAAAAAAAGGCACAACCCACTTTATATATATTTGATGCTGCAGCATTTTCTTGCCATGAGTTGAGAGCAGCTATTGAGACAACAGCCCATTAGTGGCTCCATTTCCATCCTTTAAGTGCAGTTCCAAACCAGAATGGTATCCTGGATTTCATCCAGGGCAAAGAACCAAAGTCATTGTTGCTGGTTGAGCACTCATTTCCAGGGGTTTGCCAGTGAAGATTGTGCAAACTCACTGAAACTGAAGTAGCACCTCTGGTTAGCTGAAAAGGTGGCTCTTCCCTTAAATTCTGGGGTTAAATCGGCTTTGTGGTGAGTGGCTTGGAGGATGGGGCATTCATTAGCTGGGACCTCGCTTAATTACAGCGGTTTGTGTGGCTGCTTTGTTTTGGAGGCTGAAATGTATTTTTAAATTGCCCTTTGCCAAGTGAATAGGTGCTAATTTGCCTTCTCAGAGCTCAGTGCTGCCTGCTTTTGCCAATCCAGTTTCCTGTCCCTTCAGCCTGTGCTGGGACATGGGTGAAAACCCTCCTCTGTTAAGGGTAAACGCTGGAATTGTGCATTAATTCAGCCTGAATTTGTGTTTGGGTTGCTTAAATACTTTCAAACTCTGCCATGTTGTATGCATTTTACTGCTTTTCCAAAGTAATGGCTGTTCAATATGTTGCTTTTTGGTAAGGAAACCTGCCTTCCTCCTTTAGTTATTAGGAAAAAGTTGGCTGTTTTTTCAGACTGTTAGTAGCGTTTTCAGTTGTATTGGAATTACACGTTACACCCTTAAAAAAAGTTAATTAAATGCTGCTCCTGTTGTTGGCTTGACCCAGAAGTGAGAGCTGTGAAGGGTCCTGAGAAGGGAAGTTTTAGCAGTTATTAATTTAGTAGTTTGTTAAAAAACTGCTCTGTTCTCACCTGAGGTCCAACAGCACAGGAATTAAGGATTTATTCCTTCCAAGGTTTAGTTACAGATCGTTTTAAAAGCCCCATGTACTTTCCCTGTTGCTTGGAGGGTGAAGCTCTCAAGTGCTGGAGATCTCCCCAGTTAAATTGGGCTGGTCAGAAGGGAAGAGGGATTTGGGTGAGGGTTCTGTTCCTGTTTATTCTTTTTATCTCTAGAAACCTTTTGCCAGAGGATTGGATGGAAGACCCCTGTTCAGGGGGAAACGTCATTTCTCTCCTGTGCACATCCAGTTTTGCTCGCCCTGTTCTGACACTCTTGAAAAGCATCTGGTTTGAAGCTATTGATTAGGAACTTGGGCTGCGTCCCGACAGTAATTCCTGCTTTGACATTGTAATTGTGCTTGCATCACCATTTTCTGGGGGTTATTTTGGTGGCAGCAGTGTTTTCCCTCTCCCATCCCCCCTTGGTGTGTAACATGCTAATTAGATCTTTAAATTAAGGACTTGCTGAGTGCTTCCATCTTCATTGAAAATCCAGCCTGAGGTACTTAATAGACCTGTTTTGGTGGTACCTTCACTCACCACCTGAGAATTCCTTGGAAAAAAATTAACACAATTCCTCCTTTTGGGCAGGGGTAAAATCTGGTGGTGGTTCTTGGGCCTGTGCAGAGAATCTTACATTACTCATCTGCTCTTGGTGCTTCTCTCTCAGTATTTGAAGTCTCTAAAGGTGTGTGTTTTTATCTGTGACTTTTGAGTGGAAGCGAATAAAAACTATCTCCTACATCTCCTTTTTATGTCACACATACTTCAATGAGGTCCACAGTGCACAAATGGCCTGAGCCAGCTCAGGTACCAAAATCCTCTGATTCCTAACAAAAAGTGGGACACTTGTCTCTTCCTGTTGCCATCTTCATCTCAAATCTCACATGGACAAACTGCTTGACATTATATCTGTTCTCTAAATTTGTACTACAAAATACAGTTTCCAAAAAATGAAACCCTCGCTAACAAAATTTCAGTTTTCAGACATAATCTTAAGCAAGTGTACTTTTAGCTGTTTATTTCTAGGAAGAACTAAACCATGTATCTAGGATCCATAACACTGATTTAGAAAGTTTAGTTCATCTACCGCTCAAAAAAATGGCTGGAATAATTTTGATTTCTTTGAAAGGCAATTAGAATATTTCCTTAGTTGAAGAAAAAGAAGATGCCCAGTTTAGTTGAAATGTATCTCTAGGACACACACTTCTAGAACTCAAACTAATTTTTGTATGATTTAAGGAAAACATGAGGTCTGCGTACCAGAAAGCATCTTTTTAATCAACAGTTGGCTTTTTGATGCCCTACTTGTTTTCATTTGTGCTTTCCTCAATATCCTCCTGGTTTTCCTTTGCACAGGATGCCATTACTCCCTACAAGGAAATCCTCCAGATGTACTGGGAGAAAGTGACCGGCTTTGTGAACGCCCGGTGTGATGGACTGGAGCCCTGGCAGCTCATTGGGTTGACTTTTTCTTCCACTCTTGCAAGTGTGTGGCTGCATGGCTTCCTCTGCCAGCCTGAGAGTAAGTATTTCACACGGGGGTTTTCTTACCTTTGAGGGAGGGGAGGTGGCCCTGAGCTGTTCTGGGCAGTGGAAGGAATGAGGGTGGAACAAGGCCAAACACTTGTTAAAACAGACTTTCTGCTGTCACCTAATATTTACCAAATTCTTCTGAATTAAGGTCAAGACCTGTCTGGTAAATGAAGCTCTCTTGTTGTGTCAGAGGGTGCATGGAATGTGCTTCTGTCTCCTTCCCTCCCTTTTTCCTTTGGCTAAACCATGTGCTTGTCACAACACTCTCTTCATGCCCAGACCCTGGGGAGATTTATGGAGAGCTGGGTTCCTGTGAACTTAGTCACTGCTGCAAAGTGTCTGGATAACTCTTGGTTGTTCCCTTCCTGCTGAGGGAGGAGATGTGGTCTTGATTCCATGCTGGGGGCACATTTCATCCTCAAAATATTCAAGATATAATTGCATGTGATAGTGTGAGGAAATTTTCTTGTAATTTTTTTTTTTTTCTCAATATATTTCCGGAGTATCTTCCTGTTTTGAGTGGTTTCTGGTACTGGCAGCTTTTCAGTGGAGCTGAGTTCTGCAGAACTTGCAGTTTTCTCTGGTCGTGTGATGGCCTGAGGTCACTGCCATGCCCTCAGAGATGCATTTCAGTTCCCACAGGCCCTGGGGATACACACTGGTGGCAGCTTCTTAAAAATAGCCAAGTTTTTGATGTTTCCTTCTGTGTCTGTTTCTGAAGCAGCCCTTTCTCTTTGTAGGCATGGGGGCAGCTGAACAGTGGGAACGTCTGTAAGGAACAAATTGCTATGAAACTTCTGTTCAGGACAGTTATCTTCCTAGCTAATACCTGTACTGTTTCCCAGTGTATTTTGTTTAAGTATGGACTAGCTGTTAGAAGATTTGATTAGATTGTCAGCATTTTTCAGGAGTTGGCAGTCTTTTGTCACTGTGAAAATGATTGATGAAACAGTGTGCACACTGAGATGTGCAACAGAAATGTTATTATCAGGGCACTAACAAGTATTTTCTGCAGAATGTGCCAATTAGTGTCCTTGATAGCTTCTCAAATTGTATATATGAAGTGAAATATATATGAAGTGTAGATAAAATTGCAAAGTTTTAAAATGGTTGATTTTTAAGCTTTATTTAGTTATTTTTTAGCTTGTTCTGTAACTGCTGGTGTGTGGGTAGGACTGGGAAGGCAATTTTGGTGGCTGTAAAGCATCTGTGTCATCCAGATTTCATTCCTGCCTTTGGAGCTACCTGAGGAGTTTCCCAGTGCTTGTCATTGGTGGCTTCTCTCATTTGAGTCTTTGTGCTGTGGTGGAATGTTTGCTCTTCCCTTTGTCCATCCCTTTTCCCTGAGTCACCTCCCAGTGCATCAAACAGGGCAAATCCATGTTTTGTTGTGGCTGACACTGTCACAAATGTCCCTGCTCCCTCCTTTGGTCTGGGAGCCTGTTTGACACTGCTCAGTGGTTTTGTTTTCAAGTAACAATTCTGGTTTGAAGAGGCAGGAAATGTTAATAATTCCTCCCTTTTAGCAGACCCTGAAATCCCTATCTTTCCTGTAAAAGTCCACATGTGAGTGTGAATTCCCATGTAAGTAAGAAACAAATAACTGATTCCTGTAGATGGCTGCTGTTCTGCAGTCCAGATGTTTCCATGGCATGGTCCATCCATGAAAACCTTGCTCTTGGATCCACTCATCTGTCTCACCACGTGTCCCCTGTGTTATTTCAGCTTGGATCAGGAACGCTGAGCCTGGATCATAAACTGCATCAGAAGTTTTTTTTGTTGTTTCTTAGGTTCCTTTCTGCTTTTTGTCTTTCAGGTTTGACATCCCGAACTAAAAAGCAATTCTTTAAACTGCTGAGAAAAATGCCATTTGTTGGGGCTATAGTAAGTATTTGAGCAAGTACTTAGAGGACTATTCTAGATCTTTTTTTCAGCTCTCTTGGAGAATATACAGTTCTGTGCATCTTTGTTGTCATGTCACTGTGATCCTAATGACCCAGGATATAGATCTGGAATGTCTTCTGCTGCCTCCTGATTGAATGACAGATGTAATTTCTACCCAATCTTTTTGTCACAGTATCACTCCCATAGTAACTGGGTTCCACCTCTTTTTAACTTTTGAGCTATTTATATTAACCAAGAATGAGTAAATTCTCCAGTAATGTTTCCTTGGGTTTAGATTTTAAGAAAATGAATTTAATTCTGGAAAAAGGGACAGGATTGAACTGGAGTTGTTCTTCTGAAGCAGTGTGACATGTGAGACAGCAATTTTCACCCTGACAGCAATTCTACATTGTTGTGCAATGTGGAAGGGTATTTATTTTAATCATGATTTGTTCAGGGCTCAGATACCTGTTAGCAGAAAGATATCAGCACTTTGTGTAATCATTAAAATGACCCAGGAGCTGTAGTGTTTGGGGTTCATTTGTTTGTTGGGATTTTTGATTTTGTTTTGGGTTTTTTTTTTTGTTCTGTTTTGTTTTCATTTTTTTTCTCATAAAAACCTGAAGCCACAGCTGTCAGCATGTTTTAGCAGGTTAAGGAGTGGGGGTGAAGACATGCACAGCTGGGTTTATTTCACCTCATAAACCCTGGTATCACACTCACTGCACTTCCTGCTGCTTGCTGTGCTGCTGTATTTATGTGTTGATTCCGGGGTCAGAACTGTTCCAGGCGATTTTATCCAAAGAAAGTAGCACAGAGGAATTGGTTTTTTTTGCTTATGCTGTGGAGATGGAAGGAGTTGTCCAGTTTCTCCCATATCCCTCTAGAAGGAACTAAATCCCCTCCCTGTCCTGTGCAGTAAATTATCAGGTGCTTGCAAGAGGCCTTGACTTTGAGGCATTCCAATGTCCAAAAGTCAATATCCCAACACCTGTGTTGCCTGGAAGAAGGATCCTTACTTTGGAATGTGTTGTGAGAAGAAGTCTGGGGTTTCCTGAGAGCAGGGAGTGGGTGAGAAGAGAGAAATCTCTGACATATGTTTGTGGTGGAGATGACTTTATTGTGTTTTTGTGAGTTTCTAAGCTGTGTGTGGGGGTAGAGGAGGCAAGGTACAAACCAATGCTCCTGAAGACCTCCACAAATTAAAAACTGTGACTTGAAAAGGTTTGCTGGATAAAAATGCAGGGTTTTTTCCTTGAGATTTATTTTCTCAAGCACTAAGGAAAGGGGTCAAAGCTCCCAGTGCAGCAGTTCCTGTCTGCTCCATCGACACCACAGATACAGGCAGCAGGTCCTGTTCTCCACACACTCAACAATTTGGAATTTGACCAGTGCCATAGTTTGATAGGTTTTTTTTCTTTCTTTTCAGATTCAAAAGAAGATTGATGAAGCCTTGAATGATGTCACTTCCAGTTTATCCTTCCTGAAAGATGAAAGGGATTATATCAAAGCGCTGCCAGAACAAGGCATGAGCCAGCCTGAAGTGCTGCAGAAGATGAAAGAGTACAGCTCAAAAGGTGAGTCTGTAGTGCAGCAGACACCACACATGACACTTCCTTTCTTAAATGAGCCCCAGTGACTCCTGCTCATGGTTTCAGCTTAAATATTTTGTCCCCTTGCAAATTTTTGTCTGTTTTTCTTCTGGATGTGACTGAGATTCACAAGTTCTAATGCTGCATTCAGGTCTTTACATTGAAATTCTGTTCCTTCCACAAGAATTGTAGGCTGATGGGGAGGTGGGAGAGCTTAGGAGAGGAGAAATATGGAAGAAGTTCTCTTTTTGGATTGCATTTCTGAACAGTTGCCTTGATATTTGATTTTACCAGTATTGTAAAGCCCCAGAAAATACTCACAATCAAGAAAAGCAACTTACAAGTAGGATTGTTAGGGAATTTCCAAGACTGTGACCTCTTAAGGGAGACAATGGTTTGTGCCTTAAAAAAGCCTTTTAAGGAAGAGTGATGATGATCTCCTGGCTTGAGTCCACACAAGCAGTGTCTGACACTCAATTGGAGTTGTAAACATGCTCCCCCTGATTTGTGTGCCTGTTACTCCTAATGAGCAAATCTGGGTGACTTCCTGTCCAGGGGAGAAGATACAACTGTATCCCAAATTTGAGAAATACCTTGAATTAATATTCTGCTACAGCAGTGCATCTGCTCCAAATTCTGAAACAAACAATGTCATGATCCAGTACCCTGGGACAACTTCCTTCTTTTCTACTGTTGTGTATTGCTAATGTTGCTTCTCTATGTGTTTTCTCTTAAATTTTTGTTTCCTTCCTTCACTGGGTTCTTTTTTCTAAAGTCCCCCCTGTTTTCACCCCCACCCCTTTGGAAGTTGCCTAGAAGTACTGGTTTAGGTGAATTTTAATGTGGATTTTAGCACTACAAATTTGGCTTTTCCATCTCTTCTCAGCTTACAGTGGTGGGTGTTCTTTGAAAGTGGCTTTAATTTAGTGTCCAGTTGGTTGAACAGCAGTATGGGGAGATGTCGCCCTGATTCTTGAGTTTTCTTAAGCCTTCTGAATTTACATTCTATTAGGAAACTTTCCCACACAGTTTCTGTAAATAATGTATTGTTTTGCATTCCTCCATGGGGGTGGAGAGACTTGATGTACTAGTGCTTTGTCCAATGTCTTTGGAGAGGTGGCCCGTTCACTCTCCAATCCACTGTCACCTTTGGAGAAGTATAAAAGTTGGAGTCAGAAAATAAACGCGCTCTTTTTGCCTTGCAAGGTAGCAATTGGCTCGCGTTTGCTTTCTCGTGTCCTATAGCGACATCTGGTGACCGCCGAAGTGTATTGCAGCTTAGGCTGGGAACTTGGTGAGGTTTTTTCTGTTTGTTTAGAGCGTTGTCTATTGCTGGTTTTTTTTTTGGTAATGGAGAGCTTTGAGGGCATTAGGGAGGAGTCTGTGGCTTTGGACGTTTGGAGGGAGGTGCTGAAGCGGAAACGCGTTCCCTTTTATTGGGATGATTTTGAGAGGCTTTTTTTATGGGCAAGGGAGCAGGGATTCTTTCCCAATCTTGCTGAGGCCCTTTCCTGGGAGAATTGGTCTCCCGTGGGAGATCGCCTCCTGGATGCCCTGCTTGATAATCGTTTTGAAGATGTTGGGCCACTGATGATGCTGTTTAAGAGGCTGGATGCCATTTGGCAGGGGTCTGAGGTTGGCAGTTCTCGGGCTTCTCTGGGGGACCTATCTGTCTTGGATGCGGATGCTGGGGAAGCCGAGTCTCTGTACAGTTGCCCTGATTCCCCTAGCCCCGGGGGGAGTGAGCCGGAAGGTGGCTCCTCCTCTGGTGTGGCTCGGGCTCCCAGGCCACTGACTTCAGGCATCCGGTCGGTGGAGCCGGTTCGGCCGCCTCGCCCTGCCCCGCGCCGCAGGCGTAGTGGGCTGGGCGGGAAAGCACTTTCTCTTTGTGCCTTCCCGGCGCTCGGGGGTGAACGGGGGCCCGTGGATCAGCCCCCGCCTCGGATTGCGTCTGACTCGGTGACGGTGAATTGCCCGAACTGTGGTGTTACATTTCCCCTGGGGAAGACACAGGCGCATTCGCCTGGTCCGGTCTCGGGCTCATCTTCTGAGGAGGAACCCGCTCCGATCCCTGAGCCTGCGCGGCCTGCCGGGCATGCACAGGCGGTGGGGGCCGCCAAAGGCGGGGCCTTGGTCACTGTTCCATCGGACCCCGCCCCGGCAGGCGGGCAGCCCGCCCCGTCCCGCCTGATGGGGGCGGTGCCCACAGGGAGGCTGCACGGCGCGGGTCCGACGCTCCTTGGGGGCGTGCCGGACTCCCTTGTGTCGTCCCGCGGTGACGTGTCTCCGCGCGCCGCGTCTCCCTCTTCGCCCCGTCCTTCCCCCGTCCCGGGGGATGGGAGCGCTGCGCTGGGGTTGCGGTCTGCGCCTCCGCCTGCGCCCGCCGCGGTGCCTTCTGCTGATACTGCAGACAGCACCGCTGGGGCGCCGGCTGGTTCGGTTCCGCCTTCCCCGCCTGCCGCGGGGGCCGGGACTGTGGCACAGCGGGGCGCTGGGGTGTTCACCTTTAGCGCGACTGCTGACGCGGCCGGCGGGAGACCGGTGACTCCCCGTGGCCGCGGATCCTCCCAGTCGACCTTGTGGACCCTCCCTGCCTGCCAGGTGACCGTGCGTCCGAAGGACCACGGGCGGTTTTGGCAGGAGGTCCTGGATAAGGCTGAGGAGATGTGCGACTTCGGCCCCTCGCGGAGCCTGCCGGATCAAGGGGAAAGCTCCTCTGGCTCTGCTGATGCTGCGGGGGGCGTGGTGTCCGGTGATGTTGCACCGCCTCGCAGCCCAGGGGCTGCCAGTGTCCCGGAGGCTACGGGACACGATACAGTGGATAATGCAGCCTTACCAGGAGGTCCTCAGGCTTTCCCTGTGCTTAGGGGTGTTACTCATAACACTCATGAGCCTTTTTCATTTAAGGTGTTGAAGGAAATCCAAGACACCGTTGCACAGTATGGTGTTGGGTCTGCTGAGGTTATGCAGACGATCCGATTACTTGCTGCTAACCTGCTGACGCCTTTCGATATTCGTTCTGTGGCTCAGGCTCTTTTTGACCCTGTGGAATTTGACGTGTTTGAGGACAAGTGGGCCGCTTTAGTGGCCGGTGCAGTACGGAAGAATGCTACGCGGGGGCAGCAGGATCCCAGACGTGTAGCTACCGCTGACATGTTGATGGGCACAGGTAATTATGTTGATCCTCAGGGGCAGGCGGGATACAATCCTCTCGTGCTTGAGCAGTGCAGGACGTTAGGCTTAGCAGCTGTGATCCAGGCCTTAGAAATGGCTGCCCCGATGGAACCCTTTCTGACTGTTGTTCAAAGGGCCGATGAGTCATTCATGCACTTTGCATCGAGGTTGACTGCCTCGGTGGAGCGGCAGGTGGTAGAACCTGAGCTAAGGCGAATGGTCCTTGCGAGATTTGCTAGGATCCACTGCAACGCAGAATGCAAGAGAATCATACAGGCTCTTCCTGAAGGGGCTACACTTTCACAGATGGCAGCGGCCTGTGCAGACCTAGGCCCCTCGGTTCGGAAGGCGGATGCTTGGGCTGCTGCTGCGCAGCCGGTCTGGGCAGCACCGCAGGGCTGGCAGCAGCCCCGGGGTGCTGCTCAGGCGAGCACCAAACGGGGGAAGAAAGCACAGAAAGGAAAATTTCCCTCGTATGTTTGTGGCCGGTGTGGAAGGCCAGGCCATCCTGCAGAGGTTTGCAAGGCGACGGTTCATGTTAATGGCCAAGCACTCCCGGGCCCGGGAAACGGGAAGCGGAGCGCGAAGGGGGGGCGCGCTCAGACACAAGTTCCTCTCCAGACCCCAGAGCCCATGGAGGTCTGCTCGGCCAGCTTGTCGCCAGCACCCGCGGGTCAGCAGGTGTGGATGTCTGCACAGCAGCAACAGTCGTGTTAGACTCTTGCAAGGTGCACAAGGTTCCCCTGGACGCCTTTGGTCCCTTGGGTGAAGGCATGAGCGCCTTCCTCATGGGGAGGTCTAGTGCCACCCTTCAGGGCGTCATTGTGCACCTGGGTCTCATTGATGCAGACTTCACAGGGCAGATTTGTGCAATGGTTTCCACACCCACACCCCCTGTTACGATCCCAAAAGGGACACGGCTTGCTCAACTTGTGCCTTTTAAGTCTTCTGTGCGCAGGACGACTGACCGGTTGCGAGGTGATGGCGGTTTTGGATCCACTGGGCCGCCTCAAGTTCACTGGACTGCTGTCCTGACCAAAGACCGTCCCGAGATGCTGTGTACCCTCTCCATCCCTGATGCAACACCGTCAGAGATCCGCCTGCGCGGGCTCCTTGACAGCGGCGCTGATGTCACAGTTCTCTCCCTTGCCGCCTGGCCTCCGGACTGGCCCCTGGATCCAGCGGAGACGTCTGTTGCGGGCCTGGGGGGAACAGCACGGTGTTATGTGAGCCAACGGCCTGTGCTGGTCACAAACCCAGAGGGACAGACGGCCTGGATTAGGCCTTATGTTACTTCTTCTCCTGCTAACCTCTGGGGGAGGGATGTTCTATCTGCGTGGGGGGTGCGCATTGGGACGGGTTTTTGATGGGGGCCACTGCAGCGAAGGGCGCAGAGTGTCCTACGCCTCCTATACGGTGGCTGGTGGATACACCTGTTTGGGAAAACCAGTGGCCCCTCCCTCAAGATAAACTGATCGCCCTTCGGAAATTGGTGCAGGAGCAGCTGGACCAGGGTCGTCTGGAGCCTTCTAACAGTCCCTGGAACACCCCTGTTTTCTGCATCAAAAAGAAGTCTGGGAAATGGAGGTTGTTACAGGACCTCCGGAAGGTCAATGCTGTCATGGAAGGCATGGGAACATTGCAGGCGGGCATGCCATCGCCTACCATGCTTCCTGCAGGCTGGCCGATCTTCATCGTGGATTTGAAGGATTGTTTCTTTACAATTCCTTTGCATCCCGATGACAGACCGAAATTTGCCTTCACGGTGCCAGCAATTGACAATGATGAGCCTGCACAGCGATACCAATGGAAAGTTCTGCCACAGGGGATGCGCAATTCCCCGGTCATATGCCAATGGTATGTGGCCCGTGCCTTGTCTGGAGTTCGCAAGCAGTTTCCTGATGCACGTCTGTATCATTATATGGACGACATCTTGGTGGCTGCGTCCACTCAGGATGAGCTGCTGAGGATTCAGCCTCGGTTGCTCGATGCTTTGCATGCTCATGGGCTGCAGGTGGCTCCAGAAAAGGTTCAACAGCAACCTCCTTGGAAGTATTTGGGGGTCAAAATTCTGGAACGGACAATCCAACACCAGGAGGTGCAATTTGCACACTCGGTGAAGACACTGAATGATGTTCAAAAACTGATGGGTGTCATCACCTGGTTACGTCCATACTTGGGACTAACCGATGCACAACTGTCTCCTGTGTATGATCTGTTGAAAGGAGACTCTGATTTAAAATCACCTCACACATTGACCCCTGAGGCACGTCAGGTGCTGGAGGAGGTTCAGCAGGCTGTTTCTGCCCGTCAGGTTTATCGCATTGATCTTTCCGTTGATGTCGCTGTGTTCGTTACCACTCCAGATTCGCATCCCACAGGTATCATTGGTCAATGGAGTGACAAATGGTCCGATCCCTTGCACATCTTGGAATGGGTTTTCCTGCCCCATCAGCCGCAGAAGACGGCAACGACATTGGCTGAGTTGATTGCTCGGTTGATAATGAAATGCCGGCAACGGTGTTTGCAATTGATGGGTGCGGATCCTGCAAAGATCATACTCCCGATATCCCGGGAGGACTTTGACTGGAGCTTTGCACACTGTGTGTCCCTGCAATGTGCTCTAGAAAACTTTTCAGGGCAGATCACTTATCATTTGCCCAGCCACAAGCTACTGCAGGTGGCAAAATCTATGCAGATCTCTTTGCGGCCCAAAAATAGTCAGGAACCTGTGCAAGGACCCACCGTCTTTACTGACGGTTCGGGGAAAACAGGAAAGGCCATTGTTACTTGGAAGGACGGATCTGAGTGGAAGGTTCTGAAAGGTCATCAGGATGGGTCGGCCCAAGTGGTTGAGTTGAGGGCCGCTGTTATGGCATTTGAGAGATTTTCCCAGGAACCTTTCAATTTGGTCACGGATTCTGCCTATGTGGCTGATATCGCACAGCGGTTGGGTCACTCAGTTTTGAAGGAGGTCAGTAACCCTGCCTTGTTTCATTTACTGAGGACCTTGTGGTGTGCTATTCAGGCCCGGGTTCATCCGTTTTACGTTCTGCATGTGAGAAGTCACACCAATTTACCAGGGTTTGTAGCAGAAGGTAACGCGAGGGCTGACAAGTTGGCTAATCCGGCGTGGGTAGCACCCCAGCCTGATACACTCGCACAGGCCAAGGCATCACATGGGTTTTTCCATCAGAATGCACATACTCTGCAGAAGCAGTTTCAGCTAACGCCAACAGAGGCTCGTAGCATTGTTGAGTCCTGTGACGACTGCCATGCACTTGCTCCGCCTTTACCAGCAGGGGTAAACCCTAGAGGCCTTAGGGCCTTGGAGCTTTGGCAGACTGATGTCACCCAGATTGCCGAGTTTGGCCGGCTCAAGTATGTGCATGTCACGGTGGACACGTTCTCCTCTGCGATGTGGGCTTCCGCTCACACTGGAGAAAAGGCTCGTGATGTCATTGCCCACTGGAGGCAGGCCTTTGCCGTTCTGGGCATACCTTCTGCTGTGAAAACCGACAATGGTCCTGCTTATGCATCGCAGCAGGTGCGGCAGTTCCTGCAGTTGTGGGGTGTGTCACACAAGTTTGGTATCCCCCATTCTCCAACCGGCCAAGCTATTGTAGAACGCGCTCATGGTACTCTGAAGCGGGTTCTTCAAAAACAAAAACGGGGAATGCAGGGTGAGACCCCGCACAGTCGGTTGGAGAAAGCATTGTACACCATCAATCATCTTACAGTGCAGCAGAATTCAAACAACCCTGTCATTTTAAATCATCATCTCTCATTGCAAGCTGCAGACGAGGCACATCAGCCTCGAGCAAAAGTTCGAGTGCGGAATTTAGTCACTAAACAATGGGAAGGTCCCTATGACCTTATCGCTTCGGGGCGCGGGTATGCTTGTGTATCCACAGATACTGGGGTACACTGGGTACCTTCAAGGTGTGTTCGTCCTGATCTGCAACCGCAGAGACAGAATCTGACAAACGGGCAACATAGAAGCCGTGACCAAACTGAAAGTCATCAAATGGATGGATCATCGAGTGATGACTCAGTTGAAGATGACGGTGGGTGATCACTCTGATGATTCCTCCACGAACAGACACTGAACCTTATTCATTTTTCCTTTTCTTTTAAACTAAAAAGGGTGAGATGTCGCCCTGATTCTTGAGTTTTCTTAAGCCTTCTGCATTTACATTCTATTAGGAAACTTTCCCACACAGTTTCTGTAAATAATGTATTGTTTTGCATTCCTCCATGGGGGTGGAGAGACTTGATGTACTAGTGCTTTGTCCAATGTCTTCGGAGAGGTGGCCCGTTCACTCTCCAATCCACTGTCACCTTTGGAGAAGTATAAAAGTTGGAGTCAGAAAATAAACGCTCTCTTTTTTGCCTTGCAAGGTAGCAATTGGCTCGCGTTTGCTTTCTCGTGTCCTATAGCGACATATGACAAAATCTAGGGAGGCCAAAGCTCAGTTTGAACTTAATTTGGCAACATTTGTAAAGGATAATAAGAACATACTTTTACAAATATATTATGGTGCAAAGAAATTAAGTAAGACCTGCTTTTTTTCTACAAACCCTGGCAACCCTGTTAAATACTTACTGAGTGACCTGACTGTCCTTCCAAAGATGATACATCCTCCTTTTATTCCTAAGTTCCTTCAAAACCTCATTGCCCATCCAGGCTGCACGTTTGCCTCATTGACTCATCTTTGGGCACACAGGGACAGGCTGTTCCTGTGCCCTCAAGATCTCTGGTTTGAAGCATGCCACCTTTCCTGGACTCCTTTGGTTTTAGGGCTGATTCCCAAGGAGTTTCCTGAATAAGTCTCCCAAATAGGCCAAAGTCTGCCCTCCTGAAGCCCAGTACAAAAACTGTATTGATGTTCCTCCTGATGTCACCAAAGATCGAGAACACTGTGACGTCATCATCACCATGGAACAGGACGCCTCCAAACAACACAAATTCCTTCAGCCCGCCTCCAGTTAAACAACAACTATCAAAGTCCCTCCCGTGGCAGCCTCACTCACCAGCTGTGATTGCACACCCCGGTAAACGCGTCCTGAGTGCCGCGGATCCCGGCTAGGCTCCTCCCGATTGCCTCGGGCTCGCTGCCGAACATTTTTCGCTCACTCACTCCCAAACAGGCTCCATCCCTCTGCTCCTCTCCTCCCCGCCCCCGCTGCTGCCCCGGGCGCTGTGGCTCCACACTCCCAAAATCCTCCCGCACCGATACCGCGGGCACCGTGCGGAGGCAGCGGCCGCGCCCGCTGGGTCTGTCCGGCACCGGAGCGGCGGCAGCGGTGCCCGGCGGGGCGGGGCGGAGCTCGGAGGCGGCTCCGGCCCAGGTGGGACCCGCGGTCGGTCGTGCCCCAGCTCGGGGCTCGCTGCGGGCTGGGGCCGCTGCTCGGGCGGGAGGTGTCCGTGCCCGGCTCGGGGCTGCCGCGGGATGAAGCTGAACGTGCCTCAGAGCCCGAAGCGCTGCGGGCGCCGAGCGGGGGCAGAAAGCGCCGCACGCTGCCCGCTCCGGGCCGAGGCTTCTCGGCGCTGCCCTCTGTGCCAGGAGCCGCTTCACGGCCACGGGCAGGGAGCCAGAGCGGCTGTGCCGGAATTTAGTCCCAGACTTTCTTTCTGCCTCCCTTCTCCTCCCTTCTTTTCTTTTTCTGTTCGAATCCGAAGAGGCCTCAGCTGCCTCCCTTTTTCCTTCTCTCTCACCTTCCCGGTCCTGTTTCCCAGACCATGTTCTTTCCTTAGAAAACCCTTGATAACCCGTTCCCCACTTAAGGCTTTGCTGTATCCTTGTGTTTCCACCTTCTGGCTGCTGTGGGTGAAGGTCTGCCTTTGAGGAGCACACCCTGCTCCCCCTGCTCCAGAAACCAGCCCCGCAGTTCTCCCAGTCCCCTGCTGCTGAGGGCATCCTTGGGCTCTTGCTGAAGTGGAAAATATCCAGGAAGCTTTTCCTTTCTTGAGATTAGAATGGTTTCTACAAGTCCTTGAGATGTGACCATGATGGTTAAAAAGCCACTGTGCAAATGAAGGTTTTCCCATTCTTTCAGCTGCTCCATCCTCTCCTTACTTTGTACTCAACAACTGCTAAGGAAACCTTCCTAATCTCATCAATTGGCAATGCAACTGCTCTTTAATTCAGTTTTAAATCAGGTTGTTAACTCAGGCTCTGCCAAGGCTATTGATTTGCATTTTTGATGAAGTTGTTGGTGCTTAACAAGCTCTGTGCTGCTTTAAGGCCTTTCTCTAAGGCTCAAAGAATAACCCTGGCAGCAGGTTGAATTTAGAGATCTGAACAGAAAATCGCACAGATGTGCGTGGGCGTGGCCCTCCTCAGCAGCTTTTCTTAAAGTTAAATGTAAAGCGTGAAGCTGATGCTCGGTACTTTGAGATCTGGCTTGTAACTGCAGAGGGGGTGAACTCCCTTCCAGGAACTCAGGCAATGGAGTGCCACAAGCCTGCAGCCAGATTGCTTCACCTTCAGCTTAAATTCAATGGACTTTTAGTTTGCTGTTGTTTTTGGTTTTTTTGAGTATTCTTAGAGAAGCTACAAGGGAAAGAAGGGAACAGAAATAGGCTGGAGCACCACTGGCACAGTAATGGATATTTTACTCTTCCTCTTTTCCCTTTAAAAGTATATGTAGTTAACATAAACTTTAAAACCCTGTAGTTTGGGAGAAACACCCTTTTTTCCCTTTCTTTGGGAGAGATATGCAAGACCTGATTCCCCAGGGCTTGCTGCATTTCATTTATGTTTTTACAATTAAACAACGGGCTGATAAGATTGACAAGGAAGATACAACCCAGGAGCTCACCAGGCAGCAGCCTCCAAACTCTTTGGGTGATGCAAAGAGCAGTAGGGTGTGAGGACTGCTTTCCTGTGCAGGATTAATCCATGAAAACATGCTCACTGACATTGAAGTCACTTCTTAGAAGCCCCCTGTTATTTCCCGAAGTGCAGGAGCTGCAGTGTTTGACACAGCCTGGGCAGAATGAGGAAGAACATTCCTGTCAGACTTCTCCCTCTCCTCTTGTGCCAGCAAGAGAAACCCATCCTCTTTCAGGGTTGTGTTCCTCTGTGGCAGTGTGTAGTTCAGAGCTAAAGCAGTACCAGGAGCGTTCATGATTTAATCTGCGCTGCCCCCTCAGGCGTGTGAGCTCTCAGTAGTGCGCTGGGAAGTGGGGCCAGTCCAATTTCGGGCAGTCGGACTCGGAGCTGGAACGTTTTGGAGTTAACAGCGGAGACTCGGCTCCCTCTGTGGTCAGACAGGGGAGACACCTTCCTCTCCAGGGAATGCTTTTCCCAGTGGGGATTTCCCTCCCAACAGCTCAAGTCTCGCCTCTTCAGGAGCAGACCACGCAGTGCCCCCAGTGCTTTGCCGCTGGGAGCACTGGGAGAGATCCTGGAACACTGGGAGGGAACCGGGAGCACAGGGAATGCCAGGAGGGAGCTGGGAGGGAGAGTGGCAGCAGCGGCAGTGAACAAGAAGGAGCACTGGGAGGGATTTAGGAGCTCTGGGAAGGAACAGCGCTCCCAGTTCCTGCCCGGTGCTCTCAGCATCCCTCCCGCTGCTTGCCAGGAATGGGACACGGGCAGCGAACTGGGAGGGAACTCCTCAGCACTCTGCAAGGTGCAGCAGCCCCAGGTGTGACCAGGGAGGAGGGGAAGTGCCCCCAGTCCCTCCGAGTGCCCCCAAATAAGTGGGGTTTTGAGGAGAAAAGGGATTTAAATGGAGAGGGGAAAGCTTTTCTGTAGTTGTGCTTGAACTGGAGAGAGCTCCATGCACCTACAATTTGAAGGGTCTCAATTGAAGGAAAACATATATTTTCCATCATTTTGGTTGTCTCACCAGGCAGGCAATCATCGTTTTTCACTATTTTCATGTTTAAATGGACGGAGAAAACCTTTATAGTACTGTTTGAATTGAGGGAAAGATCTCCACTTTCATCAGCTTCAGGTTCCAATTGAGGGCAAACACAGCTGTCCCTGGTCTTAAAGGGTTTCCCCTGAGAGGAAACCTCTTTATGTGCCATTGTAAGAGTTCCATCGAGGGGGACCCTCCATTTGAAGGGACCTTCACAGCCGGAATGATGTCCAAAGGCCCCAGAATGGTCTTTGTTGAGGGAATGTGAAGAGGAAACTGCATTTCCCTGTTTCCCCTCATTTTCAGAGGCTAAACTGAGAGAAAATCCCCCTTGGTTCACTTTTTATTCGGGATTACATTGAGGGGAGACCCTCCTTATGCATCATTTAGGGATCCAAATTGACAGGGAACCTCCGATGCCGCAGCCCAGCCCAGGAATCCCTGCAGTAATTCACCGTTTTGAGAGCCAGAAGAAACTTCTTCCCACGCGGCTGCGCTTCTTATTAGAACAAGTATAATTGCAACATCCACAGCTGTGTGAAAAGTGACGTAACCAACACTGCGTGACGCGACCGCTCCGCGCGGCCCCGCCCCAGGCTGCGTTCCCCACTCTGATTGGTCAAAATGCCCAAAGCCCCGCCCACAGCGCTTCGGCTACAAATGGCGGTGGCGGAGGTGGACGACGGGCGGACGGTGGCGAACCAGGAAGCGAACCAGGAAGCGAAGCAGCTGCGGAACTCGGAGGCGGCTCCGGCCCAGGTGGGACCCGCGGTCGGTCGTGCCCCAGCTCGGGGCTCGCTGCGGGCGGAGGGGCCGCGCTGAGGGCCAGGGGGGTTCTGGCGAGTTCCTTGTGCCGGGTTCCGCCGTCCACAGGCAGGGAGCCAGAGCGGCTGTGCCGCCCGGAGCTGGGCTGCAGCGGCTGCAGAGCCACAGGGGCCGGGGCTGCGGGGAGCGCAGAGCTCCCGGAGGCTGCGCTTGTCTCCGCAGCTGCTGCCGCAGCTCTGGGAGCGGGGACAGCGCAGCCAGAGCCGGCACCGCCCTGCTGAGCCTCGGTGTGCCGCGGGGCCGGGACCAGCAGTGACCGCGCATCGTGTCCCTTTCAGGGTGTAAAGCTGTTCCCGAGGCGATCTCCGAGAGGCTTTGTCAGCACTCCTGATGGGTCGGGAGGAAGGTGCTGTTTGTTCCGGGCAGAGAGTTGAGGGGAGTGAATTCTGCTCTGTTCATGAGCTTGAGAAGGCACCAATGGAGAATGGAACAGCAATCGGCAATGTACTGAAAAGGAACCTCAGAACATTCCCTGGTGAGCAAGGCCCCCCACTATTGCCTCTAGGGAGGGGCCAGTGTCACCTCCCAAGGCCAGGGCTGGCAGGTGTGTGGCTGTTTCCCGATGTCTGGAAGAGGCCTCGAGCTCTGCTGGGCCCCAGCAGTGGCTGGAACCAAGAGCCCCAGCTGCCCCCAAGGCTGTGCAGGTCTCCTGCTGCAGCCTGTCCCCACAGCTGTGTCCCTGGCTGTCCCCACAGCTGTGTCCCTGGCTGTCCCCACAGTTGTGTCCCTGGCTGTGCCCAGCTCTTGGCTCTCTGGCTGCCAGCTGAGTGAGGGGCACAGTGGCTGAGGGGTCCCTCCTGTGCTCCCTGGGCACGGGGTGAGCAGATTGCAGGGCCGGGTCTGGCTCTGGCAGCCAGCAGCTCTTTCCTGCTCCAGGTGAATGGTTCAGCTCCCATGCTGTGCTCACGGCGGTGCTGATTCTGCTGCTCCTGGTGCTGGTGCTGGCTTTGGGGGTGGCCTTGGCTGTGCAGTCAGGTAAGGGAGGGGCAGCAGGCTGGGCCCAGCCCCTCGGGGCAGAGCGGGGTCCCTGCTCCCTGCAGAGGGGAATCCTCAGACCTTCTCCTCTTCCCCCTCCAGCACCACAGGTTCCAGTCACACCTGCGACTCCACAGTTGGTTCTGGGCTGTCCCCATGGCTGGGTTGGGTCCAATGGGGTCTGCTACTACTTGTCAAGGGATTACAGGAGCTGGGAGCAGGCTCAGGAACGGTGCTCCGAGCTCGGGGCCTCCCTGGCCATTCTGAAGGATGAGGCCATGGTGAGTGAGGGGCTGTGGGCGGTGTGGGGTGGCTGAGGGGAGCCTGGGGGTGCTCCTGGGCCGGGCTGGGTGCTCGTAGGGCTGGGGGTGCAGCCCTGTGCCGGGGCCTTGCAGGGAAGGAGCCCCGGCGTGCGGGGGCAGCCCCGGGCCCGTGTCCCCCCGAGGGGCCGGGGCAGCTCCCACTCCTCTCTCCTGGGCAGGATTTGCTCTTCCGCCTCCGCGGGAACGTGGATTACTGGATCGGGCTGCGCAGGCGGGGCGAGCGCCTGCACTGGGGGGACGGCAGCAGCTACAGCTCCAGGTGAGTGCCGGGGAGCCGGGCAGGGCCTGGGGGGACAGGGGCACAAGGTGTTCCCCTGGGAACCAGCGCTGTCTCTGCTCCTCCCTGCAGGGTTCCTGTGCTTGGCAATTCCCAGTGTGTGTACCTGGCTGATGATAAATTCAGGAGTGAGATGTGCTCAAATGAGCGGCCGTATGTCTGCAGCAAGGCCCAGGCTGCCCTGTGACAGGGCTGCAGAAAGGACCTTGTCCACTCTGGGCAGTGCCAGCTCCAGCTGTGAGCCCAGCACAGCGCTGTCCTTCCTCAGCTGCACCCTGTGCCTTGCACTGACTCTCAGGGTCACCTCAGTGCCTGTTCATCCCCAGTGCCAGCGCTGGCCTGGGTGTTCAGGGGAAAAGTCTCTGCACTACATCCTGCCACTGATGCTGCCTGCAGTGACTGGATTGTCCTTTTTGAAACATGGCTGAGTATTTAAGATTTTTTTAGAAGTTTGTTAAGGGATAAAATCCTGTGCTGAGGTGCTTGGCTATTTGCATATCGTTTACTTAAACTATGTTCTTATTGTACTGTTATGTTATCGGCCTATATGCATATTCTTGAGTTTGTGCGTACTGAAATATTTGTTTGAGTTTAGAGGTTTGTTTGCTTGCTTTTAACCTTTGGCTTGTCTTCATGCTTCCTAGTAGATTAAGCTAATGTATGTTTTTCTTGTGGTTCTTCCTTCTTGTATTTTCACTCTCCGGAACTGCAGCCGTGGGGAAAGTGCCCGCGGCCGAGCGGGGCCGGGCCGGGTTTGTGTCTGCTCGTGGGGCTGGGTCATGCTTGGCTGTGCTGTCTTGTAGTTTCTTACACTAATAAACGATTGTTTCTTATTTTCTCATATCTTTGTCTGAGAACCACTTCATCTCAACATTATACTAATTTGGTGGGAGCCGGGTTACATTTTCCATTGCAAGGGAGGCTCCCCCCTTCCTTAGCAGAACCCTGCCTTTCAAACCAGAACACCCCCATCCCTCTGTGCCACTGTGTGGGGAGGAGGGAGAGAGAAAATTGAGGATAAAGAGAAGCCCAGGAAGGAGAGAACAGTGTGGGGAAGGTGCATTTTGAGGATTTGGCACACTTCTCATTCCCTTGCAGTAATCTGATAATAAATTTAACTAAAATAAATTTCCCTGGTCTGGGTCTGTTATGCCCATGATGGGTGAGAGATCTCTCGCTGCCTTTACTGAGCCCCTCGAGCCTTCCCTGCTGTGTTCTGTGCCTGCCCAGGGGCAGAATGAGAGGCACAGAGCGGTTTTGCTGGCCCAGCCCAGCCCCAGAATCCCCGCCAGAATTCCCTGCACCATTTCCCGGCCCCACAGCGGCTCCGGCTCCGCGGGCAGGCGGCTCCAGCAGTTCAGAGGGGGCAAAACGGGACCGAGGAAGAGGAGGCAGCTGGAGGCAGTCGGGGCAATGTCTTTGCTGCGTGCTGGCAGCGAGAGGAAGAGGAGGGAGAAAGTGGTGCAAAGTGTCCTGGTTTAGGGCAATTTTGGGAGAAAAACCTTTAAAGGTGTTTCCTCTAGAAAGCAAATTCAAGCTGCCTTACCTCCAGCGGATTTGGGAAAAAGATTTCCTTGGAGAAAAGTTGAAAGAACTGTTTCTTTAACAAGCATTCACTGTTATGAACAGAAGGGTCTTCCTGGTTCCCAAGGGGACACTGCTGAATTGAGCTAAGTACTGATATTGAAATGTTAATTAGCTAATTGCTCCTGAGAATCACCTACACCCCCACTTACATTCATCAGCACAAAAAATTATCAATATTTAACAATGGAACCTCTCACTGTTGGAAGAGATGACAAACTCAGAAAGTCCCCTCAGCTCAGCTCACTCGTTCCCTTATCAGTCCCTTCTCAGTCCTTTATCAGTCCAAATGCGACAGCCCAGGCCAGCCCGGTGGGCCACAGGTACCAGCACCGCTGCTGTTGCGGGTGTTCAGTGCAGAGCAGGTGTGACCAGGCCCAAAGGACAGAGAAAAGCTCAGTGCAGGGAAGTTCTCTGCCTCAGCCAGCCCCAAGAACTAAAAGCCAAGGGCAGCTCTGTCCCGCTGTCTGTCCCGCTCACAGCACAGTCCGGAGCCGGGATGTGCAGGGCTCGCTGCAGTTCCTGAGAACAACCTGGGCGCTTCTCCTCCTCCTGAGCTCTCAGACCCCGCCGTAGAGGTGCAAAACTGTATTAATATTTTATGCAAATGTAGTTTTGTAGCTAAAATGAAGCTTTAATGGTTAAAATATAAACTATGTATGTAGAGGTTTTTTTTTAAAGGAATGAGATACTCGCTTCAAGATAACAGTCGCAGAACACGTAAATCTTCCTAGGAAGCAGAATTTATGGTTTTCTTATCAGAAGAAGCTAATTTCTTCAAGCCTTGCTCAGACTCGAAGACACCGTAGGGATTAAATGAAGCAGTTAACATATAACAGTTTCTTGTTTGAAATGGAGTGTAGGCATAACCATGAAGTGTATATGAATATACAGCAGTGTATTGTTTTAAAAGTTACTCCTTTGTTCACAAGGCGTGCTTGTCAGTGCTTAAGTGCCCGAGAGCATCTGGACCTCCATAATTCGTTATTTTTATTGTCTTGTAATTGTCCTAACTCTACATTTTATTACTCTATTTGTATTACAATTTTTATAACCATTTTATTATTATTAAACGTTTAAAATTATAAAAACCAAGTAATTGGCGTTTTTCACAGATACTGTACCCAGGAAATAAGTGAGCCTTTCACAGAATAGCACTGACCTCGCATCTCTTAGCTCTCACTCCTCATCGAGACTGATCACAGCTCAAACCTTTTAGAGCACATCCGCATTGCTGTGTCAGTAGAAGGTGACAGAAGCGCGGCGCAGCCCCGGCCCTCCCTGCCGAGCCCGCTGCCGGGGCCGCTCCCGCGGGGCCCGTGAGGCGAGGCGAGGCCTCGGCCGGGCCGCTCCCGCCGGGCCCGTGAGGCGAGGCGGGGCCTCGGCCGGGCCGCTCCCGCGGGGCCCGTGAGGCGAGGCGGGGCCTCGGCCGGGCCGCTCCCGCCGGGCCCGCGAGGCGAGGCGGGGCCTCGGCCGGGCCGCTCCCGCCGGGCCCGCGAGGCGAGGCGGGGCCTCGGCCGGGCCGCTCCCGCCGGGCCCGCGAGGCGAGGCGGGGCCTCGGCCGGGCCGCTCCCGCGGGGCCCGCGAGGCGAGGCGGGGCCTCGGCCGGGCCGCTCCCGCCGGGCCCGTGAGGCGAGGCGGGGCCTCGGCCGGGCCGCTCCCGCCGGGCCCGCCCTGCACCGGGGGGAGGCACGGCTCCGCCCGCCCGGCGGGAGCCGCCAGCGCCCCTGCCGGCCGTGCCCGGAACTCCCCGCGGCCGAGCGGGGCCGGGCCGGGTTTGTGTCTGCTCGGGCCGGGCCGCGCTGCGGCTTCGTGAGCCTGTGCACGCTGGGAAAGGGCTGCGGTTCTGTTCTCAGCGCTCTGCCCGAGACACCCTTCGTTTCACAATTATGCCTTCCTTCCTTCTGCCTTCCTTAGCAGACCCCTGCCTTTCTAACCAAAACACCCCCATCCCTCTGTGCCACCGTGTAGGAGGACGGAGGGAATCGAGGATAAAGAGAAGCCCAGGAAGGAAAGAACAGTGTGGGGAAGGTGCATTTTTAGGATTTGGCACGCTTCTCATTCCCTTGCTCTGATTTGTTTGATAATAAACTAAATTAATTTCCCCAGTCCAGGTCTCATTCCCCAGTTATGCCCATGATGGGTGAGAGATCTCTCGCTGCCTTTACTGAGACCCTCAAAAAATAGCTCTGCCAAGGGACTGTGAGTCAGGCAGGAGCAGGGTAGTGCTTCCTCCATCACTGAGTAGCAGTCTGATTAAAAGACGCCCCGAGGGAGTGCAGCAGACAGGAACAGACTTTGGCCTCTTTGGGAGACTTATTCAGGAAACTCCTTGGGAATCAGCCCTTAAAACCAAAGGAGTCCAGGGTAGGTGGCATGCTTCAAACCAGAGATCTTGAGGGCACAGGAACAGCCTGTCCCTGTGTGCCCAAAGATCAGTCAATGAGGCAAACGTGCAGCCTGCATGGGCAATAAGGTTTTGAAGGAACTTAGGAATAAAAGGAGGATGTATCAGCTTTGGAAGGAGGGTCAGGTTTCTCAGGAAGTATTTAAGGTAGTTGCTAGGGTAGGTAGGAAAAAAATTAGGGAGGCAAAAGCTCAGTTTGAAATTAATTTGGCAACTTTTGTAAAGGATAATAAAGAATGTTTTTACACATGTATTGATGGTAAAAGCAAGGGTAAGACCAGGTCTTGTTCTCTTTTGGATGCAGGAGGAAACTTAGTAACTGCAGGTAAGGAGAAAGCAGTGGTGCTCAATGCCTTCTTTGCCTCAGCCTTCAGTGGGAAGAGGGCTTGTCCTCAGCACAAGTGTCCTCCTGGGCTGGTAGATGGTGTCAGGGAGCAGAATGGGCCCTGTTCTCCAGGGGGAGGCAGCCAGAGAACTGCTGAGCTGATGGATGTTCATAAATGCATGGGCCCAGATGGGAACAGAGCTGGCCCAGCGTAGAGCCCTGGGGGACACCAGTGGTGCCTGTCCCCAGCTGGGTGCAGCACCGCTCACCAGCACTCTCTGGGCCGCCATGCAGCCAGTTCTGAGCCCAGCACAGAGCGCTCCTGGCCCAGCCGTGGGCTGCAGCTTTTCCAGGAGTGCTGTGGGAGACAGGGCCAAAGGCATGGCTGGAGCCCAAACAGACACAGCCACAGCCTGTCCTGCATCCACCAGGAGGTCACCTGCTCATGGAAGGAGACCAGGTTGGTCCAATGCAGGGAGCACTGGTGTCCTGCAGGGTCGGGACGGATGGAGACAAGACATCTCTGATGTCGGGTCTTGGAATACCGGGTTTATTGCAAAGGGCGTGGGTGTGAGGGCCCTGCTTGGAGCTGCCAAATGCAGGTCAGGGCAGGCCCCAAGGAGTGGGGGCAGGGTGAGACAGAAATCGAGATAGGGCTAGAGATGGGCGGGGGGAGGGGGGGGCGGAGAGAGCCGGGTGTGATTCCAGGGCAGCAGAGATATCACCAAAGATCGAGAACACTGTAATTTCATGATCACCATGGCACAGGAGGCCCCCAGCCAGCACATCTCCCGCCTCCACATCTCCCATCTCCAGTTGCAAACAACAACGAAAGACCCTTCCCTGGCAGGCTTCCTCACCAGCTGTGACCCCTGTGCCCGGGCAGCGCCCTGTTCCAGTTGTGTGGAGTTCCCCACATTTCTCAGACTCGGTCTCGCTGCCAAAATCTCCCCCGCGCTGCAGCTCTCACCCAGTTTCCATCACGCGACTCCTCCCGGTACCGTGATTGCCGCTTCCCCGTGCGCTGCTTTGCCAAAAGTCAGACTCCCATCCCACCCCAAAAGGAGAGATCATAAATAGGGGTCGGTGCCGCAGCCGCCGCGTTCGAGTCCCTGCGGAGCGGCGGCGGCACCGGAGCCCGGCGGGGCGGCGGCGGAGCTCGGAGGCGGCTCCGGCCCAGGTGGGACCCGCGGTCGGTCGTGCCCCAGCTCGGGGCTCGCTGCGGGCTGGGGCCGCTGCTCGGGCGGGAGGTGTCCGTGCCCGGCTCGGGGCTGCCGCGGGATGAAGCTGAACGTGCCTCAGAGCCCGAAGCGCTGCGGGCGCCGAGCGGGGGCAGAAAGCGCCGCACGCTGCCCGCTCCGGGCCGAGGCTTCTCGGCGCTGCCTCTGTGCCAGGAGCCGCTTCACGGCCACGGGCAGGGAGCCAGAGCGGCTGTGCCGCCCGGAGCTGGAATTTAGTCCCAGCCTTTTCTTTCCTCCTCCGTTTTTTCTCTTTTCGAATTTGAAGAAGCCTCAGCTGCCTCCCTTTTTCCTTCTCTCTCACCTTCCCGGTCCTGTTTCCCAGACCATGTTCTTTCCTTAGAAAACCCTTGATAACCCGTTCCCCACTTAAGGCTTTGCTGTATCCTTGTGTTTCTACCTTCTGGCTGCTGTGGGTGAAGGTCTGCCTTTGAGGAGCACACCCTGCTCCCCCTGCTCCAGAAACCAGCCCTGCAGTTCTCCCAATCCCCTGCTGCTGAGGGCTTCCTTGGGCTCTTGCTGAAGTGAAAAATATCCAGGAAGCTTTTCCTTCCTGGAGATTAGAATGGTTTCTACAAGTCCTTGAGATGTGACCATGATGGTTAAAAACCCACTGTGCAAATGAAGGTTTTCCCATTCTTTCAGCTGCTCCATCCTCTCCTTACTTTGTACTCAACCACTGCTAAGGAAACCTTCCTAATCTCATCAATTGGCAATGCAACTGCTCTTTAATTCTGTTTTAAATCAGGTTGTTAACTCAGGCTCTGCCAAGGCTATTGATTTGCATTTTTGATGAAGTTGTTGGTGCTTAACAAGCTCTGTGCTGCTTTAAGGCCTTTCTCCAAGGCTCAAAGAATAACCCTGGCAGCAGGTTGAATTTAGAGATCTGAACAGAAAATCGCACAGATGTGCGTGGGCGTGGCCCTCCTCAGCAGCTTTTCTTAAAGTTAAATGTAAAGCGTGAAGCTGATGCCCGGTACTTTGAGATCTGGCTTGTAACTGCAGAGGGGGTGAACTCCCTTCCAGGAACTCAGGCAATGGAGTGCCACAAGCCTGCAGCCAGATTGCTTCTCCTTCAGCTTAAATTCAATGGACTTTTAGTTTGCTGTTGTTTTTGGTTTTTTTGAGTATTCTTAGAGAAGCTACAAGGGAAAGAAGGGAACAGAAATAGGCTGGAGCACCACTGGCACAGTAATGGATATTTTACTCTTCCTCTTTTCCCTTTAAAAGTATATGTAGTTAACATAAACTTTAAAACCCTGTAGTTTGGGAGAAACACCCTTTTTTCCCTTTCTTTGGGAGAGATATGCAAGACCTGATTCCCCAGGGCTTGCTGAATTTCATTTATGTTTTTACAATTAAACAAGGGGCTGATAAGATTGACAAGGAAGATACAACTCAGGAGCTCACCAGGCAGCAGCCTCCAAACTCTTTGGGTGATGCAAAGAGCAGTAGGGTGTGAGGACTGCTTTCCTGTGCAGGATTAATCCATGAAAACATGCTCACTGACATTGAAGTCACTTCTTAGAAGCCCCCTGTTATTTCCCGAAGTGCAGGAGCTGCAGTGTTTGACACAGCCTGGGCAGAATGATGAAGAACATTCCTGTCAGACTTCTCCCTCTCCTCTTGTGCCAGCAAGAGAAACCCATCCTCTTTCAGGGTTGTGTTCCTCTGTGGCAGTGTGTAGTTCAGAGCTAAAGCAGTACCAGGAGCGTTCATGATTTAATCTGCGCTGCCCCCTCAGGCGTGTGAGCTCTCAGTAGTGTGCTGGGAAGTGGGGCCAGTCCAATTTCGGGCAGTCGGACTCGGAGCTGGAACGTTTTGGAGTTAACAGCGGAGACTCGGCTCCCTCTGTGGTCAGACAGGGGAGACACCTTCCTCTCCAGGGAATGCTTTTCCCAGCGGGGATTTCCCTCCCAACAGCTCAAGTCTCGCCTCTTCAGGAGCAGACCACGCAGTGCCCCCAGTGCTTTGCCGCTGGGAGCACTGGAAGAGATCCTGGAACACTGGGAGGGAACCGGGAGCACAGGGAATGCCAGGAGGGAGCTGGGAGGGAGAGTGGCAGCAGCGGCAGTGAACAAGAAGGAGCACTGGGAGGGATTTAGGAGCTCTGGGAAGGAACAGCGCTCCCAGTTCCTGCCCAGTGCTCTCAGCATCCCTCCCGCTGTTTGCCAGGAATGGGACACGGGCAGGGAACTGGGAGGGAACTCCTCAGCACTCTGCAAGGTGCAGCAGCCCCAGGTGTGACCAGGGAGGAGGGGAAGTGCCCCCAGTCCCTCCGAGTGCCCCCAAATAAGTGGGGTTTTGAGGAGAAAAGGGATTTAAATGGAGAGAGAAAAGCTTTTCTGTAGTTATGCTTGAACTGGAGAGAGCTCCATGCACCTACAATTTGAAGGGTCTCAATTGAAGGAAAACATATATTTTCCATCATTTTGGTTGTCTCACCAGGCAGGCAATCATCGTTTTCCACTATTTTCATGTTTAAATGGAAGGAGAAAACCTTTATAGTACTGTTTGAATTGAGGGAAAGAGCTCCACTTTCATCATCTTCAGGTTCCAATTGAGGGCAAACACAGCTGTCCCTGGTCTTAAAGGGTTTCCCTTGAGAGGAAACCTCTTTATGTGCCATTGTAAGAGTTCCATCGAGGGGGACCCTCCATTTGAAGGGACCTTCACAGCCGGAATGATGTCCAAAGGCCCCAGAATGGTCTTTGTTGAGGGAATGTGAAGAGGAAACTGCATTTCCCTGTTTCCCCTCATTTTCAGAGGCTAAACTGAGAGAAAATCCCCCTTGGTTTACTTTTTATTCGGGATTACATTGAGGGGAGACCCTCCTTATGCACCATTTAGGGATCTAAATTGACAGGGAACCTCCGATGCCGCCGGACGCCCGGCAGTGCCTGTGCCGCAGCCCACACAGGAATCCCTGCAGTAATTCACTATTTTGACAGCAAGAAGACATTTCCTCCCACGCGGATGCGCTTTTTATTGGCAAAATTCCATTCCTATTGTGCACGGTCACATGCCAAGTAATAAAAATCAAACCGCGGATCCTTATCTCGCCCTTCCACCTCGCCCCAGGCTGCGCTCCCCGCGCTGATTGGTCAAAATGCCAAAGCCCCGCCCACAGCGCTTCGGATACAAATGGCGGCGGCGGGGCGCGGAGCTATGCTGTGAGCAGAGCGGTGGAGCGGTCGTGTGACTAAGAGCAGCGGAGCCCGGCGGGGCGGCGGCGGAGCTCGGAGGCGGCTCCGGCCCAGGTGGGACCCGCGGTCGGTCGTGCCCCAGCTCGGGGCTCGCTGCGGGCTGGGGCCGCTGCTCGGGCGGGAGGTGTCCGTGCCCGGCTCGGGGCTGCCGCGGGATGAAGCTGAACGTGCCTCAGAGCCCGAAGCGCTGCGGGCGCCGAGCGGGGGCAGAAAGCGCCGCACGCTGCCCGCTCCGGGCCGAGGCTTCTCGGCGCTGCCCTCTGTGCCAGGAGCCGCTTCACGGCCACGGGCAGGGAGCCAGAGCGGCTGTGCCGCCCGGAGCTGGGCTGCAGCGGCTGCAGAGCCACAGGGGCCGGGGCTGCGGGGAGCGCAGAGCTCCCGGAGGCTGCGCTTGTCTCCGCAGCTGCTGCCGCAGCTCTGGGAGCGGGGACAGCGCAGCCAGAGCCGGCACCGCCCTGCTGAGCCTCGGTGTGCCGCGGGGCCGGGACCAGCAGCGACCTCGCATCGTGTCCCTTTCAGGGTGCCATCACCGCCGGTGTAAAGCTGTTCCCGAAAGGCTTTGTCAGCACTCCTGATGTGTCGGGAGGAAGGTGCTGTTTGTTCCTGGCAGAGAGTTGAGGGGAGTGAATTCTGCTCTGTTCATGAGCTTGAGAAGGCACCAATGGAGAATGGAACAGCAATCGGCAATGTACTGAAAAGGAACCTCAGAACATTCCCTGGTGAGCAAGGCCCCCCACTATTGCCTCTAGGGAGGGGCCAGTGTCACCTCCCAGGGCCAGGGCTGGCAGGTGTGTGGCTGTTTCCCGATGTCTGGAAGAGGCCTCAAGCTCTGCTGGGCCCCAGCAGTGGCTGGAACCAAGAGCCCCAGCTGCCCCCAAGGCTGTGCAGGTCTCCTGCTGCAGCCTGTGCCCACAGCTGTGTCCCTGGCTGTCCCCACAGCTGTGTCCCTGCCTGTGCCCAGCTCTTGGCTCTCTGGCTGCCAGCTGAGTGAGGGGCACAGTGGCTGAGGGGTCCCTCCTGTGCTCCCTGGGCACGGGGTGAGCAGATTGCAGGGCCGGGTCTGGCTCTGGCAGCCAGCAGCTCTTTCCTGCTCCAGGTGAATGGTTCAGCTCCCGTCCCGTGCTCACGGCGGTGCTGATTCTGCTGCTCCTGGTGCTGGTGCTGGCTTTGGGTGTGGCCTTGGCTGTGCAGTCAGGTAAGGGAGGGGCAGCAGGCTGGGCCCAGCCCCTCGGGGCAGAGCGGGGTCCCTGCTCCCTGCAGAGGGGAATCCTCAGACCTTCTCCTCTTCCCCCTCCAGCACCACAGGTTCCAGTCACACCTGCGACTCCACAGTTGGTTCTGGGCTGTCCCCATGGCTGGGTTGGGTCCAATGGGGTCTGCTACTACTTGTCAAGGGATTACAGGAGCTGGGAGCAGGCTCAGGAACGTTGCTCCGAGCTCGGGGCCTCCCTGGCCATTCTCAAGGATGAGGCCATGGTGAGTGAGGGGCTGCGGGCGGTGTGGGGTGGCTGAGGGGAGCCTGGGGGTGCTCCTGGGCCGGGCTGGGTGCTCGTAGGGCTGGGGGTGCAGCCCTGTGCCGGGGCCTTGCAGGGAAGGAGCCCCGGCGTGCGGGGGCAGCCCCGGGCCCGTGTCCCCCCGAGGGGCCGGGGCAGCTCCCACTCCTCTCTCCTGGGCAGGATTTGCTCTTCCGCCTCCGCGGGAACGTGGATTACTGGATCGGGCTGCGCAGGCGGGGCGAGCGCCTGCACTGGGGGGACGGCAGCAGCTACAGCTCCAGGTGAGTGCCGGGGAGCCGGGCAGGGCCTGGGGGGACAGGGGCACAAGGTGTTCCCCTGGGAACCAGCGCTGTCTCTGCTCCTCCCTGCAGGGTTCCTGTGCTTGGAAATTCCCAGTGTGTGTACCTGGCTGACGATAAATTCAGGAGTGAGATGTGCTCAAATGAGCGGCCGTATGTCTGCAGCAAGGCCCAGGCTGCCCTGTGACAGGGCTGCAGAAAGGACCTTGTCCACGCTGGGCAGTGCCAGCTCCAGCTGTGAGCCCAGCACAGCGCTGTCCTTCCTCAGCTGCACCCTGTGTTAATACTAAATGTGAAAACCAATAACTATATTTCTTATTTATAACATCATTTAATTATCTGTATTGTGAAATCCAAATTGCCCTGGGCTCTTGGAAATCATCACAAATTGGCCTGCACATGACATTTTTGGACTGTCTTTGGAAGATTAAGAAGAGCAGCTGACAGTGCAGAGGAGGAATCCCACCTTCAGCATCCGGCACCTGACTGTGAATCAGAGTCTCTCAGGGATAAAGAGAAGCCCAGGAAGGAGAGAACAGTTTGGGGAAGGTGCATTTTTACGATTTGGCACACTTCTCATTCTCTTGCTGTAATCTGTTTGATAATAAATTCAACTAAAATCAATTTCCCCAGTCTGGGTCTGTTATGCCCATGATGGGTGAGAGATCTCTCGCTGCCTTTACTGAGCCCCTGGAGCCTTCCCTGCTGTGTTCTGTGCCTGCCCAGGGGCAGGAGGAGAGGCACAGAGCGGCTTTGCTGGCCCCGTGCACCTGGCCCGGCCCAGCCCAGCCCCAGAATCCCTGCCAGAATTCCCTGCACCATTTCCCGGCCCCACGGCAACTCCGGTTCCGGGGACAGGCGGCTCCAGGAGTTCAGAGGGGGCAAAAAGGGACCGAGGGAGAGGAGGCAGCTGGAGGAAGTGGGGGAAATGTCTTTGCTGAGAGCTGGCAGGGAGAGCAGGAGGAGGAGGGAGAAAGTGGTGCAAAGTGACCTGGTTTAGGGCAATTTTGGAAGAAAAACCTTTAAAGGTGTTTCCTCTAGAAAGCAAATTCAAGCTGCCTTACCTCCAGCAGATTTGGGAAAAAGATTTCCTTGGTGAAAAATTGAAAGAACTGTTTCTTTAATATGTATTCACTGTTATGTAGGAAAGGGCCTTCCTGGTTCCCATGGGGACACTGCTGAATTGAGCTAAGTACTGATATTGAAATGTTAATTAGCTAATTGCTCCTGAGAATCACCTACACCCCCACTTACATTCACCAGCACAAAAAATTATCAATATTTAACAATGGAACCTCTCACTGTTGGAAGAGATGACAAACTCAGAAAGTCCCCTCAGCTCAGCTCACTCGTTCCCTTATCAGTCCCTTCTCAGTCCTTTATCAGTCCAAATGCCACAGCCCAGGCCAGCCCGGTGGGCCACAGGTACCAGCACCGCTGCTGTTGCGGGTGTTCAGTGCAGAGCAGGTGTGACCAGGCCCAAAGGACAGAGAAAAGCTCAGTGCAGGGAAGTTCTCTGCCTCAGCCAGCCCCAAGAACTAAAAGCCAAGGGCAGCTCTGTCCCGCTGTCTGTCCCGTTCACAGCACAGTCCGGAGCCGGGGTGTGCAGGGCTCGCTGCAGTTCCTGAGAACAACCTGGGCGCTTCTCCTCCCCCTGAGCTCTCAGACCCAGCCATAGAGGTGCAAAACTTATTTCTGGGCTAAACAGAGATGGGCATAGGAGCACCATCAAGTCCTGTACCCCCACAGATAAAACTATTCATCTTAATAAATTCCCCCAGAAGTTACCAAAACTTTAGCTCATTTATAAAAATATAACCTAGTAAAACATTCCCTCAAAATATAAAAATAGCCCATATAACAACAAACAACTCACTATAATAACACCTAATTGTTGCAGCATTTTTGAGAGAAAGAGGACATGAGTTATGAGATTTGAGCTACTCCAGTCTAGGCCTCAGATTTGGGCCTTGTGAGGCCTTCAAGCCTCTGACGCAATTAGAAATTCAGAGCTTGTGGCGCAGATAGAAATAGTCTTAAGGTGTGATGGGGACCACTGGGTTGTCTGGGTGTGAATTAGTACAGGTTTCATAGTGTAAGGTGTAGGCCATTTTAAGGAAAAGATAAACAATGTTAGCCTACCAATCAGAGTGTCTTTGTTTTTGTAAACTACATAGAAGCTTATATAAACTACCATCTTATCTCGAATAAAGGGAGAACGCTTGATTAACCACATTGGTTCAGATCTGCGTTTGTCTTGTCCAGCTTTCCGTTTTTCTGAGATTCCCAGGCTTTTAGTGGCGCCCGACCAGGGACTCAGGAGGCTCCGAAAAAGCTCCCAAATTACTTTTAGAGTAACGGGGAGCTGAGTTTGAGTCGCGCGACGAAAATTTAAGTCCAAATCGCCTCATGGCGACGAGGCCGGGATCCCAAATTCACTTTTTGTGAACGGGGATCAAGTGGAACGGAGCAGAAGTCTCCAAACTCTGAATTGGGCTGTTTCCCAACAGGAGAAAAAAGACTTTTCACATTGTTGTTTGTTTGCGAGAGTCCGTTGGAGCAGTGGGAAGACCTCGGCGTTCACAAAGGACCCGAACGGCGGGTGTGGACGTGGCCGGGGCCGGGGAGCTGGAGCGGAGTTGCTGCCTTGCCGAAGAAAAGCGAGAGCGGAGCAACCTGCGGAGGTTGGAGGTGAGCCGCGGAGAGAGAGAGAGGGTGAAAGTTCACCATGGGTGGGGATCTGCAGGCTTCAGTGCAGCTTCTCTTTCATATTCTCTCAAAGAGAGCTGAAAAAGTTAAAGAAGCTGATTTGGAACAGTTGGTTCTGTGGGCAAGAAACAAAGGCAAGCTGCAAAAGCCTTCGCTGATTTTTAGTGAAGTCGAATGGCAAAAGCTGGGAGAGCTGCTTTGGGACACAGTGATAGAGGGCAGAAAAGACAAGAAAATAGTGCTGGAGCTTGGAGGCATTTGGAAAAAAGTTTTACATACCCTGCAAAGCATGCCTGCAGAGAAAAAAGCAGCGGAAGACGCAATTCAGGCGTTTTAGCAATCCACATCAGAACAGACAGAAGTCCAAAAGCCATCTTGGGTTGAAAAATTCTTTTATGTTTGTAATATGTGGCCAGTGCGAGGGCAGAAGGCTCCAGTCAGTCCCTCTCTCAGGGATTTTGTCGCTCGTTTGGAAGCAGGTGCGGGGCTGGCTGACACGGGACCGAACAAAAGCGTGAATGCGGCCGGGGCAGAAGTGTGCCCGCAGACAGCGGATGTTAACAGCTCGGCGGTTCCCCGAAGTGAGGCAAACCAGGAAGTGGCCCTGCCGGGTCCCTCGGGAGGCGGGGTGAAACCTGAGGAGGCAGGCGGAGTTGGTGACGAAACGGGGCTCAGGCAGGAGGCAGAACACAAAGGCGGAGACCAGGGCGGAGACGGGAGCGCGGCAGCGCCGGCCCCTCATCCCCCCGCAGACGCGGCGGCAGCAGTGGCAGTGACGCGCAGGCGCAGAAGCGCGGCCCGGTGGTACCTGGCGGCGGCAAACAGCCCGGCACGGCAGAGCGGGGCCGGGCACAGCCCTGCTAGCGGGATCGCAGAGACAGTTACACAGACAACAGCAGCGCAGACCCCCGCCCCAGGCAGCCCCCACCCCGCCACGGTGGCGCTGCGCTGCCCACTTCCTCCAAGCTCCAATTCCGATGACTCAGGGTCAGACCCCTCTGCCGTCAATTGTAGCAGGAAGAAGCGATCACAAAACAAGATACAAAGATCAAATACGTTACAACAAAAAATAGCCCAGCTTGCCACCCTTTCAAATCGTCAGGCTCAACCAGTGGAACCTCCCACTCGCCAGCAATTGGCATCGCCAGCAGTTTTAAAAAATCCCTTGCAGTCCCGATGGGCATCAGTTGTGAAGGATGCTCTTTTAGACGGTGACTGGAAGGCTGTCAGCTCCCTGGCTTGTCCTGTCGTAGTATCTAATGGGAATGCCATCTGGGAGCCTCATGAGTGGAAAATCCTACAATCAGCTAAGCAGACAGTCACCACTTATGGGATCAGATCAGAAGCAGCAGGAACATCATTCAGTATATATTCACAGCAGATGTGCTTTGTCCTGGTGATTCATCTAATATTGCCTCCCTGCTCCTGACACCTTCCCAGTTTCTCATGTTTGAAAGGGAATGGAGGCGGTTGGCAATTGAAGAGGCCAACAAACACACAAATGTGGGAGACCCCTTTTTTGGAGTCCAGCCAGATATGCTGACTGGGCAAGGACCATATGCAACCAATCAGGTACAACTTACCTTTCCCGTTGAAATGCATCAATTGTCACAGCAATTGGCCCATCAAGCTTTGCTTTTGGTACCAGACAAGAAAAAGTCAGCATCCTATGCATCCATAAAGCAAGGAGCCACTGAACCATTTGGACAATTTATTGATAGGCTGTCAGCTGCTTTGAAGGACGCACCTGACGTGCCACCAGACGTTCAGGAACATTTATTCCGATCCCTTGCTTTTGAGAATGCTAACCCACCCACCAGAACCATCCTAGCCACCCTTCCTCAGGGCTGTCCAGTCGATGAGATGCTTGTCAGAGCCACACGCGCAGAACAAAGCAACCAAGCTGCAGCATTCACAGCTGCAATCCAAGATGCAATTCAACAACAAGGACACATCATTGCAGCTGCTTTATCAAGCAACAACACAAGGAGACAGAAGACGTAATGAAAAAGTATAGCAGTACCGATTGTTTTCCAAGATACCAAGAGGGATGGACATTATGCAAATCAATGTTATTTCAAATACGATATAGATGAAAATCACTGTATAAAGATAGAAATGTTAATAATGATTTAATTGCCAAAAATGTCTCTGAAAACAAAGATTTGAGAAAAGTCAGTCAGATGGAATGTTGGTATTGAGTTCACAATTTCTGTTTTTGGGTTTTTATAGATAATAATATAAGTAATTATGATTTTTGAGTTTTATAGATAATAAGTGATGATTGTTAAGTTTTTGTAGGTAATGATAAGATAAGTAGTGATTGTTACTAATGTTATATGAATGCTTTGAAAAGATTGTTTTAAACTACTTTAAACATTTCTTGTTGATAGGTTGATCATATAATGTAAGTTGTCTGATTTTTGTGATAAGAATTATTATTAAGATGTTAAGGTATTGAGGTGTTGTTTTAATATTTACAGTCAGTTTTCATATGTTTTATTGTCTTTCTAGGTGATTGATTGCAAGATGTGATTTTTCAGAATCCTGTGTTTTTGATTTTTAAACTACTCATGTGTTTTCTTTGTCCAATCTTCTATGCAGCTGCAGTTCATCTTCTTTTACAAATTTATAGTCCAAGTTTTGGTTCAAGATTTCAGACTTCAAATTTTCAGATCTCTGAAGAAAGGGTTTGTTGTATTTAGAGAATTTTTGTCTTGAAGGAAATTTTGGACAGGTTCAATTATTTGATGGTTTGATAAATTTTTAATAATAAGGTTTTTTTTTTTTACTTATAACTTTTATTTCTAAGACTTTCATTTTATAATGTGTTAAACATATCCTCCAATTAGAGTTTGAGCTCTGGCCAAGCTCTGGCTCTACGTGGATGGTGTGATTAACCCAGGTGTTTTCTG